GTTATTAGTCTATTTGAAATCATTTTTCTATTGATTTAAGATTGCTTTACTTACTGAAAATTCGCTTTGAAAAATAATTTAAAGCGTCTTTTTCTCATAAACATGCATGTAAATGTCATAGCTATTTATTTCTTTATTTTTCAGATTAGTGTTTGCAATTCATTCATAATTAAAAATTTTTAAAATTCAGTTATATACAATAATTTTGCTTACATCCTGATTTATTATTCTGTTTACAATAGCTTTACTGTTATAATTTACTTCTATTGATTTTTAATGTATTAAAATTGTATTTCGTGCTTCTAAAGTGTCACGTATCTTTTGCCGAATAAAGAAAAATACATGTCCCTTAAGGCTCCATCATCTAATAAAAACATTACCTTACGATTTTACCGCATACGTTTTTTCATAAAATAAACTGTAATACTCCTTAAATATCGTGTGTTCAACATCAATTCTTAAGTCACGATTCAAAATCTTCGCAGCGAAAGCAGCGATAATCATTTTTATTATTTCTTCATGCTAAAAAAAATCACGATAACAGATGTGATTCATTTATAATAGTGTGTGGTACATCATGTAACATTTGCATGTTTACAACAATGTAAATGTTTAATAAAGCAATGAATTAATGAAAGGGTACGAGTTTAAAATATGAGCCGTAAGCCCACTCCGTTCTAGTGTTTCAAAATTATGATTTAAATAACAGTAATTTAACAATAAAAATTGTAAGATTTTCAGTCAACCTTTTATTATAAAATTGAAGTTTCACGAACGGATGAAGAGCAATCTTTACAATCAGTGTCCTTGATGTAACTCTATTATTTAAGTGAGTAATTTCCTCAATCAATTATCATCTCCGTGACAAAGAATTGCTTGGTATAGTTTAGATAACCTTTTAAGCAGGAAAAATTTAAAAATAATAATAATAATAGCTGGTAAACTTGATTTGACTTTTCATTGACATATATTTTTAAAGTTGACTTATAAAACGACATTTTTTATTCTTCCGTTAAAAAAAATTTTTATTATACAAAAATATTAAAAACTGAATTAAAGCAGAAACAATCAGATCAGTAGAATGATCATCTCCGTGACAGAGAAGTGCTTGGTATAGTTTAGATAATCATTTAAGCAGGAAAAATTTAAAAATAATAATAATAATAACTGGTTTAACGTTTTTCACTTTTACTTTTTATAACTGCGTCAACTTGATTTCATTTTTCATTGACATATATTTTTAAAGTTGCTTTAAAGAACGGCATTTTTTATTCTTCCGTGAAATTTTTTTTTATTATACAAAAATATTAAAAACTGAATTAAAGCAGAAACAATCAGATCAGTAGAATGATCATCTCCGTGACAAAGAAGTGCTTGGTATAGTTTAAATAATCTTTTAAGCAGGAAAAATTGAAAAATAATAATAATAATAACTGGTTTAACTTTTTTCACTTTTACTTTTTATAACTGCGTCAACTTGATTTCATTTTTCATTGACATATATTTTTAAAGCTGCTTTAAAAAACGGTATTTTTTATTCTTCCGTGAAATTTTTTTTTATTATACAAAAATATTAAAAACTGAATTAAAGCAGAAACAATCAGATCAGTAGAATGATCATCTCCGTGACAAAGAAGGTGCTTGGTATAGTTTAGATAATCTTTTAAGCAGGAAAAAATTAAAAATAATAACAATAATGACTGGTTTAACGTTTTTTACTTTTTATAACTGCTTCAACTTCATTTCATTTTTAAAGTTGCTTTAAAAAACGGTATTTTTTATTAAGTGAAAAAATTGTTTTATTTTAGAAAAATATTAAAAACTGAATTAAAGTAGAAACAATCAGATCAGTAGAATGATAATTTAATTAAAATTAAATAATTAAAATTAAAATTAAAAAAATAATAATTGCAGTATTAATTGCATCGTTAGTATTTTTATCATTAAAGTAACCATATTTGTTGTCTATTATAATTTCAAATTCCATCTTTTAAAGAATCAATTTTTTTTAATAAAAACATTGTTTTAATTATAATACTAATAGTGCATTACGCTTGTTAAGAATATTAATAAAATAATTTGGAGAACAATATAGATAAGCTTTTACAATATCATTATCGACATTTTTTGGAAAATTTTTAAAAATATTTCTTTAAAGTAATTTTTTAATAGTTCAATAGTGATAAGTACTAGTAACCAAATCAAGAAGTTTTTTTTAATTATACTATCGCGTTATAACGTGTTTTATTTTACTGTCATACTGTACTAAGTTATTCTGGAAGTATCTTCTTTATGTGGCTCACTGTGTTAGATTTCGTACTAGTATAACCTTAGGATCTGTGATCTTACTATTTTTCATGAGTAGCAATAATATAAATTTCGATGTATGATATAAATAATTTTTTTTATATTTTGCACAGGAATTAAAATTCTAGTGAAATAACAGTACTGTATGGTAATGACATTTCTGGTAAAAAAGGAACTGCAATTCTAAATGTTTCAAAGATGTTACCATATTTAAACCATTCATTTAGTAATTTTTCCGTTCATATGATAACGGTTTACCAAAAATTCTGGTTTTTAAAATTATAATTCATATTAGTTATTAAATATAACACATTTTGAAACGAGTTTTTAAACAATATTCAATTCTAAATGTATATTTATTATGCATGGAGAAAAAAATTCTGACGGTACCACACAATTCGGCAATGACATTTCTGATATAAAAATCTATAATTCTGATTAATAAAACCCAAAATGTACGGTGTTTATCCATTCATTTTGTAACGATTTACCAAAAATTTAGATTTTAAAAATCATTGTTCTTATTACCACGACTTCAGTAAAATACAAAACAGAAAAGTAAACTATACCCCATTAATAATTTTTATGTCATATTCTATTTTTTATTCGTTATGTGTAAATGATCAACCTGATAGTTGCAGCATGGGCGGAATATTCCAAATGTACTCCTATATAGGTGCAAAGTATTTTGTGAGTAAATTAGATGCTGATGACAGCTGCACCAATACTGTTAATTCTTATGACAGATTTTTTACGATCCACGAAGTTTTAAGTACAAGCACTCTATGTATCATGATAAAATCACTAAATTTTATCAGATATTATAAAACCATATTTTTTGTTAATTTTACCAAAATCGTTAGCAAAGCACTTCGATAAAAATAATCGAGCTTTTGGATATTTCCATAGAGTCAGAAACACAGCTAATCTCACCATACTCTGGTAGTTTTGACTATATAATTTTCGTCTCAGTGGACAAATGTTAACAAAATCAAGTATAAATGGACAAAAAGCTGTTTTTTTTTAAACATTTTTTTATTACATCGTTTGTTAACTTGTTAACGTGTTTGTCATGTAGGAATCTTGAAAATAAATTTTGACCTTTCTCTGACTAGCTAGGATTCTTATATTTTAACTGTAACTGCTCGATCTGAAAACAAGTTTCAATAGTTTTCTAACCGATATATGTGGAATTCATTGTCAAATCTAACTAATCGATCCAATTTCGGACTAAATTGCAAAATAGCTAAATATCTCAATTTTATAACCGTCGTTGAACAGCCGACTCAATTTTATGGGTTTACTACTACTAATGTTCAACTCTGTAGCCTTGTAATTTTAAACCCAAACCAGAAGACAAGGGAACTTCTGGATTTAGTATTGGGAGAAATTTTGCCTTCGTAGAGGACTTTTTGATGGAGCTAACCCGCGTTTGCGTTACATGGAGAGAAAGACCGCGAGAACCACCCACTGTTAGCCTGACGGCAAGGAGACTCTAACCCATGATCCGTCTACCACTGAGCATATATCACGTCAGCACTGTGGTCGGTGCAAGCTGGTTGCGGATTCGTTTCGACCAGCCATCGCTGGGGATTCGATACCGGTTCACCTTATTCGAAGGCGGATGTCCCATCCCCTGAGCCAATTTTTCAGATCTCTAAAAGCAGAAATAAACATCCAAGATAATTTATCTTCAACCAAAATTTCGACTTCCTTTTAAGAGATAATGAGATTGTGCCAATATCCATCTTTAATATATTCCTAGCTTAATTATTATTATTATTATATATTTTTTTTTTGCAACAGATTCAAAGTTGAGGCCTTATTTGCAGTTCTGAAAAACATAAACAATCTTCCCAAGTCTTTTACAAATTAAATAACTAATAACTAATCATAAAATACTTAAAAATTTTAAAAACTGTTGTTTTGCAATTTTGTGCCAATGTCAACCGTTAATATATCCCTAGCTTAATAATTTATTTTGTTACAGATTCCGAGTTGAGGCCTTATTTGGTGTTCTAGCACACATAAAAAATCACCCTCAGTTCCTTATAAATAAAATAACTGACAACTAATAATAAAATACATAAAAACATATATTTGTTTTTCTAATAGACTAAAAAGAAAATAATTTCACTCTTGTCCGAACTAAGTTGAAAAACGAAGAGCAAAAGATGTGAGAGATTTTTCCTATTGGAATGAAAAGTTTAGTGTAAAAGTGATGCTATCTGCATTTTGAATTTCAAGCCAGACAAGAAAAAATACTTTCTCTTTTTCACTCCATTTGAAAAACGTATTTTTTAAAATGTTGAATTTATTTTTATTATTAAATTTGATCAAAATAACAGAGTTTGCTTTTTCTGTAAAGTGTCCTTCAAAGCAATATAAATTTAAAATATCGAAAAAAAAAAAGAAACAAACGCGTATTAAATAAATAACCATTGTTTCCTATTAGTCATATTCGAAAATAGTGTTTTTGTTTTCGTAATCACTGATTTCCTTCGTATTGTTTACAATACCAAGCATTTAAACAAATATGTATAAAAAACACATTTTCTTAAAAAAATGTATAAATGATTTTAATAACATAAACATTAAAGACAATACGCACATTTCTATTGTATTCTAACTGCGATTGCTTTTGCGTGTGTTAGTATAAATGCCACAACACAAAAACAGTAAAAGTCATTCCTAATGCGTGGTTGCCATGGTTACCATTGAGGAGAGGTCGTCTGCTCTTGGAGTAGCGCAGTATGGACATTTAAGATCAAATATAAAGAGCATTGCGACTCAATCCTCATAAAATTGATCTGGACATAGGTTTCATAAGGATTATGCAATCTTGAAATTATTACTCTTCTTATTGGCTACAAGTTGAAGATACTTTCTCGTGAGTTATTAAGTTGTCAGTTATTTTGCTTTATTGATACATGATCACATTTTTATATTCAATTCCCTGCTGTAGGATCATTTTTAAAATTTGGTGTCAGTCAAAAATTAAAAAAAGAAAAAAAAATATTTGAAAATATTTAATTTGTAGAAATAATTAAACAAAGATACTTCTTCAATGCTCTTTTCATGCAGTTCTTGTATTTTTTTTCCTTATCTTAATTATTTTTAGATGATGCATATTTCGCAAGATAGGAATTCATTTTATAATAGAGTCGATTATCAGAAATTTTAATTGAAATTATTTACTATCAATGTGTGTTAAAATTGCTGAATAATCAGTATTCTTAAATTTTTCCTTTGGTGAAAAATATTTCATAAATTTTCATAAAAAGAGAACTATTCCCACAACAACGTATTGCAGGTCGGGGAATTATAGAGGGTAAGTCTAAAAAATTTTTTAAAAAAATACTGTTTTGTGGATATAACTCGCCATTGTTATCGACAAAAATGATTAGTTTTAAATTTTATAGGAATAAAATTAAAAGCTGTATCTAAGAAACCAAATCAGAGTCAATATAATTAAAAAATTTGTTATCTCATAAAATTGATCTGGCCATAGGTTTCATAAGGATTATGCAATCGTGATTATTACTTTTCCTATTGGCTACAGTTGAAGATAATTTTTAGTGAATTATTAAGGTGTCATTTATTTTGTTTTATTGATACTTGATCACATTTTTATCCCATTGATCATGTTAGATATCTTGATCATATTGTTTAAACTTTCAAAATTAAATAAGAGTCCAATGATATGAAAAATCATACATATGCTTTTAGTTTTCATGCTCTTGAACTATTAAACATATTGGGTTTAAAATTTTGATCTTAATCATCTAAAATTACGCAGGAAATTATTCAAAACATGCTTAGCTTTACAGTAAAATATTTCATCAAATATTAAAATAAATTGTTTCATAAAAACTATATAATAATTAAGAATTATGTCTTGTGCTAAAATATCTTTCCATAAAAGAATCTTATAAACGAGGATATTAGTGGAAGAGGGGTCGAAGTGACATTTTTAGTGAAGCAACATCAACGTTTAAAACATATAAGCAGTAGGATACTGATTGTTAAACAAAATTTTTATTTAAAAACTGTCACTTTTTAAAGACCAGGTTGTAAAAAGTGAATTTTATGCTTACATCTAGCATATTGTTTTCTTTACTTTTTGAATAAATTATAAAATTTCTTTTTCTTTTTAAATAAATTATTTAAGCATAAAAATTCCTTACATTGTCTTTTCATAAAGTTAAAAATGTTTTTCTTTATATTTAATTAATCAATAAAATTTCCTTTTATTTTTTTACATTAAGTTTCTATGTGTGAACTCGTGAAACGTTTCCAAAAATGAATCCAAGATACAAGTCTACATGCATGTATTAAACTGCATGCATGTATTTTTTTAGACCTTGAAACGACGACCATTAGGGGAGTTAAATATAAACTCTGATGCAAACTTATGATTAATAGAACTCTATACAAAACGTTGAAATATAGCCAACACTATATTGATTGAAATATGTAATGGATACAAAGTAACATTATCTTCAGAAGATAAAAAAAAACTTTTCGTATAACACGCATTACTGTGTGTTTATTACAGAAAGATACAGCTGATATATACCACTGCAAATGTAAGTATATTTTGTTACTTTATGTTGCATAAAAAGGTGAGCCTAACGGTGTTTCTCATAGACTACCCTGCAATAATGGAAGAGACACTTTCGGTTTTTGATATTTTTTTTAAGATATTAAGAAATACTTACAGGACAATTTTGAAATTTTAGAAGTGTTTGGTTCATGCAATTTTTCATACTTAGCTATAAAGTTTAAATCCTTCGGGAGTTTTAGGGACCAATAATAAATTGCAACAGAAAACAAGTATTTTTGAACACCTTATGACAAGGAATAAAGCAATAAGCTTGTAGCTTGCATCGCTTACTTTGGTTGCTATTTGCAATGACTGCATAAAATGAATATGAAGATATGAATGAATATGAAGATATGAAATGAAATGAATATGAAGATATGAATATTTGTAGTAGTTCTTTTGTACTGAGGAAGAATATTTTTCAATAAATGTGATATGAATCGTATTTGGCAACTAATGGAAAACATTTGATTTAAATGTCTTAAAAATATAAAACTTTCAAATAATTTTCTAAGTGGTTTTTGTACTTTTTAAAAGAAAGCTCAAAACGATGAGTTTCCACATTACAAAAAGTTTCCACATTTTTAATTTTGTTCTTGCTGTCCAGTCAGTATTGAGTAGTATTATTTGCAATACTACGTAATGAAGTTTAAAAAACAGGTTTGTGGATACAGTTGCAATGGTAACTGAGATAGATGATTAGTTTTAAATTTCATTCGAATAAAATCGGAAACTAAATCATAAGAACCAAATCTATTTTATGGTATCCGATTATACCTTATATAATTTGCAATACTACATAATAGAAGTTTACAAAAAAAAACAGGTTTGTGGATAGGGTTGCAATGGTAACCGAAATAAATGATTAGTATAAGTTTTATTCGAATAAAATCGGAAGTTAAATCAAAGGAACTAAATCTGTGTTAAGGTATCCGACCAACTTCGACAACTTTATCTTAAATATTAATATGAAATTTTGAAAAACTAGTTTTTTATGAAGTGTAAAAACTTAAACAAGCATAAAAAAATTATAATTAGTTTTTTTTTTTAAGTGGTTATTTTTAGGTAAAAAATAAGACTTTTTTTTTCGTAGACACTAAACACTGTAAAACACAATTCTATCACCTAAAATAAAAAATTCTTTGAGAATTTTATTTACTAAGCTATCAACAATGTTTTGAACTATTATTTTAAAAGCAAGTGCATATACTACTGAATTAGGGATCAATGCAGTTAAAAAAGCAGACTTTTTTAAATTTCGGCACATGTCTTTACAAAAATGCATGCATAAAAAATAAATTCAACTTTTTTCTCTTAGTCTATGGTTCAAAACATGTGTGTTATAATCATAAACACTCATGAAAAATTGTAGATAATCGTGTTTAAGGTGGGGTAAAGCGTGAAAATATAAAACAGATTTTGAGATAAATATATTTAGAGACTTAAAATCACTTGTCTATAAAATATTAACACCTTGTACAAAAACTATAAATTTGTAAATAATTGAAGTACAAACGAAAATAAAGTATTTTTTAGGAAGCTATGACTACAGGATTTCTAAATTTATAATAAACTGAATTTCGAAAATTTTGTCTAAAATCATGTTTTTGCACTAACCTTAATACAATTAAACTACTAACACAATTATTCACCTTAAAACAATTAAAAATTTTGGAGTCTTAAATTTAAATTTGAGAAATCTTTATTTTTTATGTAACAATCTGTTCATAATGATAATAAAAAAACACAATTTTGAAGCAATTAAGAAGGTTGGTAAGCGAAATGAATAGCGCAAGAAAATGAAATCCCCTGAAAGCGTTTTCATCATTTGACATTCTAAAAATACAGCAACTTGCAAAGGAATCAGACTAAAAATTTATGTCAAAACACTTTTTTAAGTACTTTAATTTTTATAATATCTATAAAGTTAATAAGAGTTTTGAAATCGTTTGAGTTTTACTTAATAAGAGGAAGCTTAATAGTGAATATTGAGAATGTAAGATAGAATTTATAAGAAGATTAGATTTGGAATATTAAGACTTATAAGCATTAAAATAAAAATAAAAAATAACATAAGAAGATTAGAACTGAGTCTTAGAAAAGTCTTCTTTGTCAATTCAGTGCTCATTGTTAATATTTTTCTTTTAACTCTTTATAAAGCAGATTAAATAAATTTAATATGCAAGAAAAACAAGTTTTATAAATCATTTTCTTTTTTAATATTTCGTATAAAAACCTCAACTTTGAATCGTTCAGATTTAAAAATAACGAAATTATTGCGTGGTCCAAGCTAAGAAATGTAATTAAAAATATTACGGTAAATTTATATTCTATTCAAACTATTCAATTATTTTTATGCATAAACTAACTTTTAAAAATTAAGTTTTTTACACAGTAAAAAAAGAGTTTCTTGAAATTGAGCCAAAATATGTAATATTAGTTTCCAAATTGAAAATTTGGTTATCCCAAATCCATTCATGTATCCAATACATGTATCCATTCTCGAATACAATGGCATGTGAAATTCAAACAGCATATACTCACTTTTGAGAAAAATTCATTGTCTTAAAAATGCTGTGAGGGAGGGAATACGTGAGAGAGTTGTTCGTTGCCTGTCGGCAAGATTCGAACCAAGGACTGCTGGGTTTTTAAAAGAATGCCTTAATTTTTATAATTGTTCTCCCCAGACCCGGGAAAGTTAGGAAGCTTTATATAGTAGCCGCGACAATGACACATCATGACATGCATTCAATTCGGGGAAATCTTCCTTTAAAAAAAATATCGAAAGAAACAATAAATAAAATTGAAAATACCGATTTTCTGACTAAACTATTGAGACCACGCTTTTCAAATTGCAACAATTTGTACCATTAAATTATGTAAAATGTGTAAGTTTGTGTTAAGTATATAATGATGTCTGACTGCGGCGGTCTAACTTTAATAATGCTTCATAACCCATTCCGGGCCTGTGGTGAGCAAATATGACTGTTCGAATATCCTACTACGAACCCAGAAGCCCTCGGTTCGACTCATAACAGTAACATACACATATCTCTCATATACAATTCTATAGATAAATAACTTTTTGAATATTATTCTTTTTTCAAAAATGAATAAATGCTATTTCAATTTAGAATGTCACTAAAATCAATAATAAATACGTTTTTGTTCAATTTTAAGAAACCCTTCTGTACAGTATTGTATTAAAAGGTAAATCTAGAAAAAAAAAAGAAATTTTGGAATAAGATTCAGATACTTAGAGCTTATACTTTGGGTAATAATACTTTTTAATAAGTACCTTTGATAATATTATTTTCAACGGAAAGTATTTTATTTATTGTAATCAAATTATCTATTTTATTTTTAATCTAAAAGTAAATGAATCTTTTTATTTAATTCCTTCATTTGCTATATACTTATGATTGATATTACTCCCATTTGTTTCAAACTTTTGTTTGTCTCGGTATAATTTCTGAATATCTATTAATTTTTTTTTTAGATTTATACGCAATGTTTAAATCGAAAACAAAATCAACTAAGGATTCGGATGACGCAAAGGTACGTTCAAAGTTTCTTTTAACTTGTCACTTTTTAGTTACTTGTCGTAAATTTGTCGCAAATTTAGTTGCTTAAACATTATTATTGCTAAAAGCCATTATCCTTTAAAAAAAATAAATCATTCATGTCATCAAGTATTTCAACTATTCAATCTGTTAATTATTGTACTTTTTATTTGTTCCAGGTAACAAAGAAAATTGTTACCGAAAAAGTAGAAACAACAGGTGGAATACAGACCAAAACGACCACAATCACCTGCACGAAAGATGACTTTGATTCTGCGTTCAAAACCTTGGACCTTGATCCCAAAAAGTTCCATTCAGGGGGGACCAGCGTCACCCGCCAAATCATATACACAGATAGTTCTGGTAAAAAAGAAGTCATCGAGGAAACGGTTGAAACGTATGACAGCCCGGAGAAATCCGAAAAACCCAAAAATGGTTCAGAAAGCAAATCTTTTGCTCAAAAGCTTGGACTCAATCTCGGCAAATCTGATACTACCAAGTCTTCTGAGCCAAAGGCAGCGAAGACAGCCACTGTAAAGCCTGGCCAGTTTGAAAAAGAGTGTTTGGAGGCTCATAATGAATATCGAAAAGTTCATGGTGTACCGATTTTGACTTTATCAAAAGAAGTATTTACATCATCATTTTCTTAAATTTTAATTTTTATTAAATTTTTGGTTTTTATCACATTGACCTTGCTTGCCATATAAAATAACATACTGTCAAGTGTCAGCAAGTCGGGAAAAAAATAGGTTTGTGCACTTTCAGCTGTTGAGAATTTGATCTAGAAAACTGGATCATTTTTGGTCTTTGTTTATAAGTGACATAATTAAAGCGTTTTCATTGACTCGCTTCCTTCCCGAAAAAAATTAACGTGCACTTAAATAACTTAAACACATTGGCATAGACATAACAGTAATAATTTTAGTGCTTATTTTCTTGTTAGTTCGTATTTTAATAAGTGGCAGACATTTTTTAAAAGCAGATCTTTTATTTATTTCACACAGCGTTAACGTTTTCTTAGAACTCTTACTAAACTTCTTTTTCGTTACCATAACAACGAACGTTGCCATCACCATAATTTACAACAACAAAATACTAATGAAAGTGCGATAATAATATGAAATAGGCTATAAAATAATAATTAAATAATGAAAACGATAAATTAAAAGGAAAACGATAATTAAAAAAGAAAAACTATATTATTTGTTATTTAAAAGACCTGCTCTAGCCACAGCAAGCACATGATGTCATTTTTGTCAATCATTGACTTGGTTATTTTCTTCTATTATGTTTCAAGAACTTGTAGGTAAAAAAAAGTGATAACCCACATTCTATAAAAATTCCCCTACTTTACTGTAACTAACTGTATTCTTCAATGACTTACATTTAGCTCACTTTGCCTCTGTTAGTAGATGACAACGCACTACTGGTTTACTAATGTTACGCATCTTTTCAACTGTCTGTCTCTGCAAAATTTCTTGTTTTATACATAAAAACATGGTTTATCACTTTTTGCTTTCAAGAGCTCCAACTAAATAGCTCACGTGAGGAAAATTCCAAGCGATAAAGAAATGTTTTTTCTCAGGAAAAGATTTAGTTTTCCTTTTTTTAAGTATATAGCATTAATTCATGTTGATAAGACTTTGAGTTTCAAAAATCTTCACCAAAGAAGTTATTACGCGATATTTTTGAGTTAAAAACAGTTCTGTTAGAACATTGGGTGCAAGAAAAAATTGATAGCAACCATAAAAAGGCAGCGTGAACCATAGAAAGGCAGCATGACAGCATATTAAGACACCAAAAGAACGAAACTAAAAAATGTTATTTGTGAAATATGGGATAAAAACTATAGTGATTTTTACATCATTGGATGCTTCACTGAGAAAAAAGGTATGGTTAAAACTACCAGAATATGATACAATTTTCCGCTTTTCTAAACGTATGAGAACACCAAAAAACTCGGTAATTTTTAATGGGTTTGGTAAAATTATCAAGAAAATATGGTTTTATAATATGTGGTGAAATTTTTGAATTCTATCATGATACCTTAGATCATGGCATAAAAGCAATTTATTCGATTCAATTTATTTCTCACTTTTTTTTACAAAATGTGTGGAAATAAGAAATATAATTTTTAAACCAGAATTTCAGGTAAATTGATATCATATGAGCGGAAACATTACCAAATGAGTGGTTTATATACAGTATATTTTGATTTTATTTACCAGAATTATGTTCTTTTTTTTCTACCTAAAATGGTATTACCATACAGTTATCATCATACATATTTTTTCCTGAATTCTTTATCCATGATGAATGCTCAAAAAATTAGTGATGGATAAGTGTAATATTATGGTGCACTTATCTGGTGTTGTGCAATATTATTGCACAGCACCATTTTACAAAATAATCCTTATAAATCTCTTTTATGGCCAAATTTCCATTTATGGCCAAAAGTAAGTTTCCCAAACTATCCTTCATCATTGCGGAATTTTAATCTAAAATGTGTCAAACTTTTAAGGACTAGTCTGACAATCTGATGGGGAAAAAAAATTGGAACTAAAATAAAAAAAATAAGACGCCATTTTACAATATGATTTTTTAAAAAATATTTATAATAAAATGATATAAATTTCGTGGTGTAAATTTATAAAATTAATTTCAAAACTATCTGATGTAAACGTTAGACTTTTAATCATATAAGTGATATTTCCAGAAAAATATAAAACTGAAACCCTAATTGTAGAACGCCATTTTAAAAATTAAAATAATTAAAAATATTTGTATAAAAAATACATTTTAATTTTCCTCCAAAATATTCTATTTATTGTTATAATTTTAATCCTATTTTCATGGAAAACGTTCAATATTCTAGACAAACGTTAGTGCTATTTTCAGACGCTCTAGTTCTTTTCTGATTTTTTTTTATTTTTGATCTTTTCTAACTGAAAAATATTCTTAGAATAATTTAAGAAGGATATTGATCGAAAATTTAGATCCTTTAAGGATTATTTCTCTTTTTACGCACTTTTTAAAATCTCTAGAATATTTCAAAAGCTTCTAAAAGTTTTTGAACGTACTTTTATTCTCGCTTATTTGAAAAATAATTCATCGTGAAATTTATTTTTTATATTTATTCAATTTTTTATTATTTAATTAAATAATGATCGAAAAAGGCTTGAATAGTATAGCATAGTAGTATTTTTTAAATTTTAAAGTGCTTATTAAGTGATCAAATCTAAAATTTGAACGGAATCGCTCGAATAATTTTTAAGAAATAAAAATTTAGAAATATATTTTTTTTAAAATTCCATTACTTAACAATCCGGTTGAAATTAACTTGCATTTCTTTTTACTTTCAAAATTGCGGTATTTTATCTTGATGTTACGATTTGTATTTATCCGTAATTAAGCAAAATAATAAATATTTTATAATAATAATAATTATTAAATAATAATAATTTTTTTGTTTTAAAATAGCGCTTCAGGAGAAAGTTTTATAATTGCTTACAAAAATTTTAAGATTCTTTTAAATAGCTTCAGAGACAAAATACGAGGAAATTATAATATCATTTTAACTATTTCTACTTAAAATCTTAATTATTTGGTGATACTATACAGCTTTATTGTTTGTACGCGACTGAAACCGGTTTGCACTTGCTTACGTTCGAGTATCATTGGTTAAACTAGGCGATTTATAATACAAATTCGACAATTGGATAAATTAGACGATATATTATATAAATATAAAACATTTATTTCATCAGATTTGATATAATTATATTGTAATAATTAGATCAAATTATTAGACGCAATGTAATTTTTTTAATAATTACATGTTTTGCACGAGTTTAAATGCGTTACTTTTATATTTAAACATACATGTAATGGGTTTTTATTCAGGAGATTTCTTATATACTTCCTATTTGTATTTATTTTTAACATATTTCATTACAATGTTAACCCATTGATACACGAACGTAAACAAGTGCAAACCGGTTTCAGTCAGGTAAAAACAATAAAGCTGTATAGTATGACCTGATGATTAAGATTTTCAATGGAATCTTATAATGCGTCTAATAATTCGGCCAGGGACCGTATTTGATTATTTGTTGACTGTTTAAAACTTACATGCAAAATATAATATTTTGAGAAATATTTAAATATCTCACTGCTAAAGTCTTAATTATTGATGTTTTTTTTCTCTTTTATTCTCTCATAGTTTTATCAGAGGTCTATTTATTTTCCAGATTTGCGCCTATGCAAAAGAATGGGCAGATCATTTAGCTACTACTGACCGATTCGAACATCGCAAAGAACACAAATATGGTGAAAACATTTACATGAAATGGAGCTCAGATCCTAATCACCAAGTTACAGGTAATACACGAATAAATTTTAGTGCAGAAATTAGTTTTAAAGAGGGCAGTTGTTCAAGTTGCAGTTCATTTTCGTCACTCTAGAGCTGCACAATGGGCTATTGGCGACTGTCTGGGAAACATCCTTAAGGATGATCCGAAAGTATGTCATTACAATTTTGATCTTCTGCAGAAGGGATGGCACCCCGCTTTGGTAGCCCAACGACCTGCACGCGAAGTCGAGCACTTCACGGAAGAACAGTTTAACGAGGACCAATACCGCACACTCTCGGTCCCTACGCAGACTAATCCAAGTGGTCACCAAACCGCACACTGACCGCAGCCTGTGATGCTTGACTTCGGTGATCTGCTGGGAACCGTGTCTTAACGATTAGTAAACGGCGGTACCCCAAAACGTTTAAATCAATTGAGTTGTACATCAGTTACCGTTCAACGGTTTACAGTTACAAGATTTCACTGTCTTACAGTTAGTTTACACTCCAAATTGCACAATATGATGCGATGTCTTCAGTTGATATATTTTAATATTTTAGTATAAATATAATTCCGGTAGTTCAACAGATTTCTTAGTGACTATTGGACTATTTTTCACAATTTAAAAGTATCGTAATAATTTTTTTACTGGTGTTTAGAGAGTTGGAAAAAAATTTATAAAAGGGTCACCGGTGACCTACCTGGGACAAAGGGTTAATTGTAGGTCAATATCTTTAGAACAAAACATGGAAATTTATTTAATATGACGTCACAAATACTAGTATGTAACCTCACACCTGATACTTTCGGATTTTTTTTTATAATAATAGCAAAATATCGGTACTATCTGTCTAATAAAAGAACTTCTCCCATCAGGTGCGCTTCAAAGAGGGTGTTGATGCTTGTTTCGCAGACCTGAGTCAAAATCTTTCATACATGTCACCCTCAAACCGTTACTTGAAGTCAATTATTCTCGTAGACATAGTCACCAACACTGCTCTCCTTCGTTTGAGCGAAAGTACTACTCCTTAGAAAAATTTGCCGTAGACATACCTATGGTGATCTATGGCTATCATAGAAATTTATATGGAAATATACCATAAGCCTATGGTAACTATAGAAATTTATATGTCGACAAGCCATAAGTATATGGTTACTATAGACATTTGTATGGCATTCAATTGGCAAGATATCATAAGGCTATAATAACCATACAAATTTGTATGGTACTTTATGACGGGACACCATTTATGGTAGGTTTAAAGGGAAGTACCATAGACTAAGGCAAAGTAATGGAAATTCACTATGAGCATGCGTCATTCATATGGGAGAGAGGATCTGGCTGTGGAAGGGTGAAGGCTTCTTTTACTGCATAGCCTATGGAAAAATTTCATAGGCTATAACACATCATAGTTGTATGGCATAAAAAAGTGACCCTAGGATATCCCAATGGGTTCATCCTTAAATTTTATCATGCACTTTTGCCATGCGCATATGGTAAATAATTTGCTGTACTCTCACGTTTATGGCAAAATTGTATGGTATATTTTTTGTCGTACGTTTACGGCAAAATTGTATGGTATAATTTTTGTTGTACGTTTATGGCAAAATTGTATGGTATAATTTTTGTTGTGCGTTTATGGCAAAATTGCATAGTATAATTTAAACATAGGCAAAACCCCAAAGGTATCTTATGGTAATTTCTTATGGCAAATTTTCCTAAGGGACACAGTAGCTTAATGCTATCAAAAACAATTAGGGCAAAGTGAGGGTAAGAGCAGGTAGCTAAGATTCGAATGCCTTTTGGAGCGAAACTGTTCGACCCAGAAACTGTCAGATTTTATCAAATTATTTATTAAATCTGTCAGTTAGTTAGTTGTGTACAATAAATAAGTCATTTTTAGTTACGTACAATAAATCATTCCTGAAAAATTCATCGATGCACTTTATTTTATAAATGATTTTTTTTTTAAAAAAAAGACAAATCGTATTACCCCACTCGTCGGATAAGACCGGGTGCATATGTAAACTCTGTTGGAAATTAAAAAATACTAGAATTTCAGCGACAAATTTAAGAATATTATGTACGAAATTCGCATCTTAAATAATAACTTCATATAAAAAAGCTATAATAGACGTTTAAGACGTAGTTAGAAAATTCTCCGAGTGTAGTTACCTGAGTCAGTAATTTTCTACATTTCTCATAGGCAGAGAAGCTGTTGACAGCTGGTATAGTGAAATTAAAGATTTTACTTTTGGGCAGGAGCCAAAGACATTGAAATCAGGTAAATATTTAAATTAAAATATTTCTCGAAATATTTATTTTTTTAGTTTACTTATTAATAAGACTTATGCGGAACATTTTATTTTTTGCATGAGATTTGTTTTTACAGATCACGTGATTGAGTCTGAAACCGGTTTCTCTCTTCCAGCTGCACTCTTTTTTAAATGACATTTTTAGCCAATTTTTGTTGAAATGTGCAAGTTTCAAAACGTTATTAATAACAGAAGAGTCGCATAAATGTTTCATAACCTCCCAAGGGAATTAGGACACACCACCAGGATTAAAATTGCATAGGGATCTATGCAATTTTATTCCTGTTGGATTTTATTCCTAGTGATCTATGCAATTTTATTCCTAGGATTCGTCCACTGGGGATGATTCCCTATTGAGAACTTTGTGCTGAGCTTCTTCATGTGTTTCTTAACAGTTCATAAGAGGGAAGCTCGCTAGCTCTCTGCTGCTACATTTCCGGGCATAGGGTTTAATGCACCTTTAAGCCAAATGGTGTGCTCTAACTCTTCTAAGCGCGTTCCCTACGAAACATGCCTGTCAAGGATATCTCAGACAGGCTCTATAAGATTCAGGTCCGGGGAGTGCGCAGGCCATTGCATACGAACAATACCTTCACTTTCTAGTGTGTCCTATACCTTAGTGCTCCTGTATGGCAGCGCATGGTCGTTTGAAAACTGAAAATTTGGATTTACCACATCTCTAAATAGACGAACATAATCCAAGAATAATCTATGTGCAATACCGCTGAGCTGTAGCGTTACCGCTCCCAAAGATATAAAGCGGTATTCTACCTTTGCGCATTATGCCTGTCCACATCATCATGAATGGGCCACACCGATCACTTTCATGAATATGCTGTTATACATAACATGTTCCATTCTCTCTCTATATACTATCTGGTTAACAGAATAACTTGTCACAGTTAAATGTCACTCTCCTCATTATCTGGTGACCAGAATAACTTGTCACTGTGAAATGGGATTCATCGTAGAATATCACTCTGGGCAGCTATTGGTGACCCCAACCAATCCTTACATCAGCGTAATCTCACTCGACGATGGCGTGGTTGAAGCGAGCTGAATCGAACAGGCTTCCGTTACAACTTGATTCAATCTCCGTGACTTTGTTCTGGCAGAAACCTGCGTACCGGTAGTAGTTGCAATGTCTACAGCTATCTTACTAGGAATGAGATTTCTATTCCTTTTTACCATTAATAGGGATACGTATCGATCCTCGTAACGTGTGGTGTTCCACTGGCATTACTAATTAATAATACATTTTAAAAATGTTAAGCAGTTACCAAATTGCTTAATTTTTTTAAAACCAAACAATTACTACTTGAAACATGTTTATTTCAATTTTATTTATTTACTAGCCGCTAAAGGCGGCCAGCTGTCCGCCACGCTAACGGTTTTCACAAATAAAGCTTTTTAAAACATAGCAGGAAATCTGAAAATTAGTGGACAATTAAAGTGTTCCTGTCCTGCAATTTTGTCTTCATATCCAGTTCTGTTGCAGATGTGTTATAGCTCTTGAGGATGTTTGAAGATGTAACTTTGGTATGGTAACATAAGGCCTATGGTAACCTAAGGCCTATGGTAATCTAACCTATAATATAAATATCAGGTGGAGACTTGATTTTTTTAAATTTTTTTTTAAAAAGGCCTCAGAAATTGTAAAAGCATAATACAAAAGTTGCTTTCGAAATCATCATTAGGTGAAAACCTCTTCTAATCTTTGACGTTTCTCTGATACTTCTTGGGCTCTAGAATTGCTTGTCGAAATTCGGTCATGTTCCATCCTTCTTCGACGTTCCACAGATGTTTCTTGGGCCCTTCTTCTTCTTTGAGAATCTCTTAATATCCTTTTCTTTGACAAAATACAAAGTTTTTTGGAAGGCGATTCTGCCATGTCATGTCAGTAATCGGGTTTTTAAGAAGTCAACGAATACTTTAGAACATACTATGAAAGCAAATCATGAAACTTCAGTATTAAAATCTAAGTGCTTACCTGCAAACTGAAACTTTCTGAAATAACTAATTACATTTAATAAAAACTGTTAAAATAAAGAATAGAAAAACCAAAGAGATCCAAGGTAAGTGTGATCGTTCCTTCAAAAACAATTAAATTCCTATTTTATATATTATATGGCTACAACGCTCAAGAAAAAAAACTAAAATGCTAAATACATGAAAAGAACACAAAAACGGGGGAAAATATACTTGAGGGTGCCCCTTGGCGAAATCGGCGACTTATGTTTGGCGTCTTACTTGGTTGCCAGAACTCCGTGGTAACAGGAATAGCGGCCAAAACATAGTGATATTTCAATGAAACAATTGAAAATTCAAGCAAAGCTTTTTAAAATTGCAGTGAACAGAATAGAATCAAAATTAATAAACCCACTATAATGCATTTTGAATCGAAACAAAAATTAATGGAGTAAGCACAGAAAGAAAAAGAGAAAAATAACTCACTTCTTCATTAAGCTTGAATATCTTCAGATTTTGGTGCACAGAATTCTCTAATTGCAGTTAGGTACTGTCTAAACTACGATCCCTTTCTAATAGATCTTTTTATGTTGGGAGCATTTGAACCTTTCACACGACCCATTCAAATCCATCTGATCAATCTTTACGTTCAACCAGAGACATCTTTCCCACAAACAGGACATTTATATCTATTACTAATTAAACCTTCATTCATACACCAGTCAATCACTACTTTTTTTCCTTTGTTATTCAAATCGTACAGAAACTTAAGATTTGTCTTATTGACAGTATTCATTTTTAGTACCAGAAGCAAAAGTAACCTTACCAGCCAGTATCCAAAGTAGAACTAACGGATCTCTGAAATTACATTTAAAAACAACGCTAAATTCTTAACCAATCAGAATCACGATTAAAATCTAAACCAATCAGAATAACGATTGGTTTTCAACATCGCCCAGCTTGGCGATCAACCTCGATCACAACTTGGCGGGGGCACCCTCAAATATAGTCTACCCCAAAAACGAATTAATTTTTTATGATATCAATTTCTATTTCTATATAATTTTTTATGGTATCAATTTCTATTTCTACATTGCTACAAAAATTATCGTCTTCGCTTAAGAAAAAAAAATAGAGCGTGGAAAGAAGAAGAAAAACTTATAATAACAATTATGAACATCGACAAATAAATCAAAGCAAAGCGTTCTATTTACGTATGGAATGTGTTGCCACATTTTTAATACAAAAGTTAAACTTTTCTCCACTTTGATAAATGTAAACAAATGCGAACCTTACAATTAAATTATTAATTCCTTCGTATATTATTGGTTTAAGTTGTCGAAATTTAATATTTCAATTGTAAGGCTCGCATTAGCATACATTTATAAGAGATATGCATTTTTTAATAGTTTTTTTAATATGGCTCTTATTTGAAGACGAAAAAGCATAGATTTTCTTACAAAATGACTGATAACTAAAAAACTAATCCAAATTTTTGAAAAAGAAAAAAAATACTTCTTCATTATGTCAAAACACAATTTTGTGTCAAGTTTCGTGCCTGGGCGAGGCTTCTGGGGCGATATATTGTGATTACAGACAGACAGACACACACACAGCCGCTTTTATTATTATGTATAGATTACACATTGGAAAAATGGGTCTTGGTTTGGATTTGATGGCGTCCACACACTTTTCAAACTGTGTTAAAGAGTAATAGTAAACAGTTCGCATGCGACGTCATTGCGTTGCTATGGCGACCGCAGATGTTTTTCTTTTTAGTTTCATGAGCAAAAATTTTTATATTCTTTTTATTATTGACGTATAACTACTGGCTTGACGGTGATTTTAATATAAATATGAATGCTGAAGAAGGAACAGTATTTTGTGACGTCTTGAAACACGTACATAGGCAGGATATGAAAATCAATCCGACGGCAAACATCAATTGAGACAGGTTTTGCAACCCATGATATTGAAATGTTTAACGGAGTCAATCCAGAAAGAAAAAGCATTTGACCAATGAGTAACAGTGATCGTAATAAGACAATGACAACTTCTTTGTTGATTTTGTTTTTCTTTTTATTTATTTTTTAGGTCATTTTACACAGGTTGTTTGGAAAGAGAGTCAGAAGCTAGGAGTTGCCTGGGCTCGAAGCAAATCAGGAAAAATTCTTGTGGTTGCCAACTACGATCCCAAAGGAAATTTTGTCGGTCATTTTGCACAAAATGTACCACCAAAGAAAAAGTAGAATTTACGAATCACACTTTTACTAATAGTTGATCATATTTTCTGGTCTTGTTCATAACTTATTTTAAACCTCCTCTTCAATATCTTTCTCAAGGCGATGAACTTGGTGCCAGTTTTGCTTTAGAAACTTTTCCCTGATCCTGATTGATTGAAACGATAAGTATAGCATAAAATAACGTGAATTGCTTGCAAAAAAATGTATGAACTTCATTTCTGAAAGAAATTAACAGAGACAGCGTTACGAATTGAGAGTTTCTGGTCTTCTAATTTAGTCCAAAAGCGCTGCGACTTCAAATTCTCGCATAGTTACTCCTATGAACTATCGCCTTAAACATAGTAACAGTCTATAGTCAGTTACACTCTATTTTTTTTTCAAATATTATACTGATGCAGTTTTACACCTATCATATATTTAACCTCTTAATAGTGACATATATTTCAAAAAAAATGGACCAAAAATGGAAAATGTTTTTGACTTTTTAATTTTGTTCTATGTATTATTATAAAAGTTGGAAAATGGTTTTTTATTACAAAAATTTTAAATGCAATAACTACTGTATTTATCATTTTTGCATTAAAAAGTAATGGATTACACACACACATCATATTCAACTAGAGCAAATTGGACAAAATTTTGAAGCTAAATATAATATTACTAGTGTAATATAATATGAAAACACAGCATTATGATTTTCAGTACATAAATTTTAGAAATCTTTTACAGTATGGTATATCCCGAAACCCTTACCTACATTTTCCCTCCCTCGACTGTCATAATCAGTGAAAAGCTAGGACCACTGACGCCATCTTTTAGGAAAATAGTGAATTAAGTATCCTAAAGTAGAAACGAACTCAGCTCGGGCTTCACAAAATAGAAACAAAATTTCCTTTTCAAACTTGATTACATGCTGCTACGATTGGACTTGAATAGAAACATGATTCAGAGTTTACATTTTACTTATGTGATTTTTATGGTTCAATGTACAAATATTACGAAACAACGTTGAACTAATTTTTTTTGTGAGTGTGCGCAAAATTATATAATTCTCTTTCGCAATTACATTTTTAATTCTTCTGTAAATGCATGTCCGCATCAGATCTCCTAGTCTTGGGTGATTTTTTCTACAGTTTAAAATCTAAATCATGTTTCCTCATACTTGAATTGAAATATGGAACTTATAACCTATAACCCCAATGACAATATTATGATTCCATTTTAATAATTTTGTCTTCAAATGTATGTCTTCCTAATGACCTAAAAGCATGATATTTGTTTTTATTGAAAAAATAAATGTTCTGTTCTTACAATTTTATTCAGTTAAATTTCAGCTCTGAATTGAAACTGAAAACTGATATCATTCCATTTTGTTTTACATGTACAGTTATTGAAATCTTTTGAGAGTATAAATGTTTAGATTATTCCAGTTTTGGAAATATCAATATTTTTTTGAAATAAAATTTTTACTCTAAGTGTTTTCTGTATTGTATTCATTATTGCTTTCGATTAGTTTGCTGAATATGTCACTTGTGAATTGATAATATTCGAAAAGCAGTGCAAGAGTACATAAAATCCTAATTGTTATTAAAAATAATATAGAGAAGGCCCTGAATATAAAACACAAAATTTTAGCTAAAACTCACAAATGTACATATTTTCATGTTCTTTATACACTAGAAAGGATAACATTGTGGGAACGGGATAACGCGACCCTTCCCAGTTTGTTAGAGTGTAGATCAGTGGTTACCAACTGGCGGCCCGCTGAGCCTTTTTTTGTTGCCCGCGAACTAAAATATATTAGTCGTCATTTTTTGTGGACAAATTTCGTAAAAAAGCTATATGGGTTTTAAATGCTTTTAAGTTTTATATCTTAACAATTTGATGTCTGTTGCACATTAATTGTTTAACACATAGGTGAAAGTTATTGTAGCCGGAATTTTTTAATATGCAATTAAATATTTTTAAAAATCCACTTCTTATTTTAATTTATAATTCAATACTTTTGTTTTGTACAACTTGATAAAACTCTGACAGTAATACTTAATGCTCCTTCAAACATAAAAGAGTCCTACATAAAATTTTAATAAAGTTGCGGCCCGCCATTTTACTAGTGTTTTTAATTGCGCCCCCCGGCCTCGTGTAAGTTGGAAACCCCTGGTCTAGATCAATTAGCCTTCCAAAATCTTAAAATATAATTAGATTTAGTTTAATAAAAATATATTTGAAACTTCATCATTGAAATTCCATAGTATTTTTTCAAAAATGTATTGACCAAAAGTATTTAATTTAATGACACACTGACTTTTCCCTTATGCTTACACATTAGTTTCTTAAATATTCGAGTTTTCTTTTCTCTACATTTAAAAATTAAAGATATGCTAAAACACTCTTGTTTTTTCAATGAAACTGGTCAATCATATACCTGCCAAAGCAAATAATATGGAAAAGAGACATCCAGCTTCTCGAATTAGTAACTAACGTGGGGATCTGCTCTGTGTGGTACGCTATACCAGAAGAACAACTAATAGGATGAGCGATGTACTCAGATTTAATGGAGCGTCATTTGAACTAAGTTTGTTTGCTAACTAAATTGTTTGTTTAACTAAATTGTTTTTTTTTTTTTTTTTCAGTTTGTCAGGTAATTTCAATGATCAAAGTGAACCTGGTAGTATAGGTGGATTACGTCACGAAATTAACATTTCCATTATTATATGAAACCACATGTTCATTTTGTTTCTCGTTGTTATTTAAAAAGGTATTTATATAAAATTAAATAGTTTAAAATCAAAGGTATTTTATTTATTTTATAATCGTCGATGAACAGCCGACCCAATTTTTGGGTTTACGACTACTAATGTTCAACTCCGTAGCCTTGTACTTTTGAAGCAATCCAGAAGACAAGGAAACTCCAGGATCAGTATACTCCCAGAGGGATGATTTGTTATGGGAACATGGAGGACTTTGTGACTCGACAGATTTAACGTGCATCAGTCATCATTTACTACACGGGGAGTTTTCGGACTCACGAACTCTTGGACATGGGCTTAGCGCCCTACCAACCAGGCTATCCCGGCCCTAAAATCAACGGTATGTGGCATAAAAAAATTGTGTACTGTAACACAAAATAAATGGAGAAATAAGCACTAATACATTTAGAAGAAGTGTAAAGTATCGACATGCAATTATTGACACCCATGATGTCATAATTATTTTTGGTAGTAGGTTCTAATTGAAATAAATAATATTCTCGAAACTAAAAAGCAAAGTTAACGGAAAATAGAAACTTATTCGTTTCGGGGAACCGTAAAAAATTGCCCTACTATTACTGGTGCCAATCTATCATTAACTTTGTTAATAGTTACTAATTGAAATTAAAAAAAATAAGCTATGTACTAAAAAGCAGAATTGTGATAGCTCAAGGGATAGAGCATTGGCCTTCCAATGCAGCGAACTGGGTCCGAATCCCAGTTGATACGAATTCCGCATCCGTCTTGCACCGACCACAGTGCTGATGTGAAATATCCTCAGTGGTAGACGGATCATGGGTTGGAGTCCCCTTGCCGTCAGGCTAACCGTTGGAGGTTCTCTTGGTCTTCCTCTCCATGTAACGCAAATGTGGGTTAGCTCCATCAAAAAGTTCTCCACGAAGATAAATTTCTTCCATTACTCGATCCAGGAGTTCCCTTGTCTTCTGGATTGGGCTCAAAATTACAAGGCTACGGAATTGAACATTAGTAGTCGTGAACTTATATAATTGGGTCAGCTGTTCTACGACGGTTATAAAATAAAATATAAAATAAAAAAGGATACTAATTCGTGTAGTAGAAACGTAAAAAATTGTCAGACTATTATCGGCGCCAATGTTGATGCGATTTTAATGCGTATCAAGTATACTAATATAACTACAATTATTGAATTTGGTACCTATGAAACCTGCATCAAATCTGTGCAGTTTAAAAATATAGATATTGTGGAAAGAAGTGCGTTTTCAGTGAGCATTTTAAAAGTATAAGTACCAAAAAGAATTACTTGATTGCTGTAAATTTTGCGATCATGAGTTCGCCTCGAGCAATAGTATCATGCCAAATGATACAATTGATCTTCATTTTGACGGGAAAAATTACGAAAATGTCTTTTGTTTAATATAATAATGTAAAGTCATCAGCAAGGACGAAACATTAAATGAAAAGCAACTGGAATCATTTTAGCTTTTTTATAGATGTTTTGCATGTGCTTTTCAGTTTTGCGCTTGATTTCATAGTGTACCTCAGTACTGATTAAGTGATTGCTTACTTTTTTTTCACCCCGTACGGAGAACGGGCATTCAGCAAGTTTTTAATAATTATAACTAAGAACGATAAGTTCAGTGCCTTCTCTTAAGAAGAGATTTTAATAATTTAGGAAAATTATTAACGCTCTCCGCGGGTTACTCGAAATTTCCATATTTTATTTTCTATGTGTATATTGTATGATGTATTCAAATGATAAGGATGTATTTAGAAAAAAATAAAACACAGCACACAAGAATAATTGTGTTGCTTTTATTTGGTATAGAAAAATATTTTATTAAAACACAAACAGGAAAAAAGAACATTCTGAATAAATAAATAAATAGAGTTTAAATTTTTAAAAGAAAACCTTATATAAGTGAACTATAATAAAAACTACATTCTTGAGTACTACAAAAAATATACAGAAATTTTTGCTCTAATGCATTTTGTACCATAAAAAATTATTAAAAAGTCTTCACAGTTTAAATTAATATAAAGCAATTTTTTTTCTTTAACAATGTATGTTACAAAATAATTGTTACTTGCTAAGCTAAGCCCTCTGACTGTTTAATTCAAGTAAACAACGTTTTTATATAGATTTTTAATATTGATCCTTAACTTTTCTAGACTATGTGTTTTAAAATTCTGAAAATGTGGCTTGTGATTGCAGTGCCGATAGAAAAATCTTCACATTTGTAGTTGTACTGACCATGTCAATATTTTCGTTTTTTTTTCTTCCTTACTCTTAAGACATATTGTTATAATGCGTGTCTTGCCTTGTTAAAAATGTTTTGCCGTCACAAAAAAAACTTTTAATTGTATTACCTTGTAATTAAGTTTTTCTTTGAAAGAAAGGAAAAAAACTCAATTTTTTGGTGCGTAATTTTAAAGACCCTGTCAAGATTTTTTTTAGCCAAAAAAGAAAAAGAAAAACTTTTTTCATTTTAGATGTGCAACTGACTTTGTCATTATGTTTTACCTTTTCCCCCAAAAAATATTTTGCACTCAATACTGTTGCATTTGTTTTATCAAGATTTTTTTTTTGCCGGCACTGTAATGACATTCTTTTTTTAACCAACGATTATACTCGTTATCTATTAAAAGGTTTGAACTTGAAACCTCTTGTTTCATCTTTGCTGAAGTAAAGTGCAGCAAGTGCTATTTAGGCATTCTTAAAGCTCTGAAAGAACTGTTTATAAATATAGCATAGCAAAATCTAGCACAGCGTATAAGCATCATATTTTATATTTTATTTACAATGGCATGCCAAGGAAGATAGAAATGTGCTATTAATTTTTACATTTAACCTGGCCAGGCAGAGAATTGACAAGAAGCTGTTGTAACCTTGAAGAAAAATTAATGGAGCAATTTTCGCGCTTTAGAATTTGCCGTGCTATTACATTAAATTATGAGCTTAAAGTATCCTTTTCGACTAAAGAAAAGATTTTTAGTTTCCCTCTTTGAGCAATCTAAGAATTATGTGCCCGGAATCTTTTCATTTATTCAATAATGCTTTATTCCTTAAAATTTGTATTAAACTTAGGTGCCAAATATGAAATTTTAAAGTTATAAGTATTTTTAAAACTTGTACTTTAAAATCCTAATCTTTTAAAAGTTTTGATACCACCTTACACATATATATATTATGTATTACATATTACATAATATATATATATATATACATATATATATATTTATCAATTTAGAATAAATATAAATTTTAGAATGAAAAATTTGCGGTATTCCATCAGATTGGATTTGCGTGATGTGTAAGCTTGTATACAAACGATTACAAACAAGTTCAACTTTGGTTAAGGAAACCACAACATTTTCGTCAATAGAGTGCATGATAAATTTCCGAATCCGCTGTATTTTCGATATTAAATACAATTATAGAACATGGTGGTATTGAATGCAAGAATACCTCTTTAAATGCAAATAAAAATGAGGGAATTCTTCCTACATTATGTTCTGTTTTGCTTTAATAAATTTTAGAATGAACAGTCAGAGGAGTAATTCCTTTCTAATAAAGTAACTTGATTAGTAGAGCGTCAGTTAAAACGTGCTTAATAATCACAAATTGCTCTTAAATACTTTTTTTAAATACTTGGTACTATAAGTATTTCAGATTTGCTTCAGCAGCTTTTTTTTTATTTTTTATTCCTGACTTTTGCTTCTTCATTTTGAGTTTTTTACAACTGCTGTAAAATAGAACTCAAATTACTTTCTGAGGGCTTTTTTTTTTAAAGCGAGAAATACGGATGTGTCAGTTAAACGTTAAGAAAAACTTTTAAAAGGTAGCATATTGATCATACAATGCCGGATCAAAAATGATATTCTTAAGGGACGTGATGTACAGTGCACCAAAAGAAAAACCGACCACCCTCAGTAGCGTTTTGATACAATAATCGGATCTTCATGTTCTAGGACTCAGTCTTAAAGGTTTGAAAGGGTTACCTCAAATATGTTAATTAATTAGTGCAGACGATATTTTAAAATACGAAATCGAACACAAATATGTAATTTCTCTGAAGAAACATACTTTTTTTCAATTAGATTTCCAATTTTCGTATTCAATTAGAGTTACACCTACAGACCCTGACCAAATTATTAGACGCATTATAAGATTCTATGTAAAATCTTAATTATCAGGTGATACTATACAGCTTATGGATTGTTTTTACGGGACTGAAACAGGTTTGCACTTGTTTACTTTCGTGTATCAATGGGTTAAATTAGTCGATATATAATATAAATTCGATGATTGGATAAACTAGACAATATATTATATAGATATAGACTATTTATAATATCAGATATTTTATTAGTATATTATAACAATTAGACAAATTATTAAACTCACTGTAGTTTTTTAATAATACATGTTTTGCACGAGTTTATATCCAATATTTTTATATTTAAACATACATGTAATGAGTTATTATTCCGATTAAATAAGCTAGACGATATATTATATAGATATAGACTGTTTTTAATATCAGATATTATATTAGTATATTATAACATTTAGACAAATTATTAAACTCACTGTAGATTTTTAATAATACATGTTTTGCACGAGTTTAAATGCAATACTTTTATATTTAAACATACATGTAATGAGTTATTATTCCGATTAAATAAGCTAGACGATATATTATATAGATATAGACTGTTTTTAATATCAGATATTATATTAGTATATTATAACATTTAGACAAATTATTAAACTCACTGTAGATTTTTAATAATACATGTTTTGCACGAGTTTAAATGCAATACTTTTATATTTAAACATACATGTAATGAGTTATTATTCCGATTAAATAAGCTAGACGATATATTATATAGATATAGACTGTTTTTAATATCAGATATTATATTAGTATATTATAACATTTAGACAAATTATTAAACTCACTGTAGATTTTTAATAATACATGTTTTGCACGAGTTTAAATGCAATACTTTTATATTTAAACATACATGTAATGAGTTATTATTCCGATTAAATAAGCTAGACGATATATTATATAGATATAGACTGTTTTTAATATCAGATATTATATTAGTATATTATAATAATTAGACAAATTATTAAACTCACTGTAGTTTTTTAATAATACATGTTTTACACGAGTTTAAATGCAATACTTTTATATTTAAACATACATGTAATGAGTTATTATTCAGGAGATCTTTTATATACTTCCTATTTGTATTTATTTTTAACATATTTCATTACAATGTTAACCAATTAATACACGAACGTAAACAATTGAAAACCAGTTTCAGCCTCTCAAAAACAATAAAGCCGTATAGTATCACCAAATAATTAAGATTTTACATAGAATCTTATAGTGCCTCTAATAGTTTGGTCAGGAAATGTAAAATGAGGCTTGAAAATTGAGTTTCTCCGAACACGTTTTTAACATCGGCTCTACATTTAGATTTTCAATTTATTTTGTTTTGCACTTGAAAGACATTGTAGTAATATCTTAACTCTTTCCTGGAATTTCGAGAAAGAGATAAACTATAGATCTGTATATAAATTCTTCTACTTTGTTTTGTGAGAGGATTGCACTTGATGGCATCCGTTCGTCTGTTCCGTCTTTTGCACTCCGTTAGTGTTACTACTTGCTTTGATATTTTTATCCGTTTTCTTACCGTAGGAAGTTAAATAGAAGTGCACAAAGAGAACGAAAAAGATTATCGCTTGCCCAAGAACTATCCAGACGGCAAAATTTCGAACGTTGCAATTTTCTGGAGGGAAAAGTGCCATCTGCGCCAGCGACGTCATCACAATTGTAAACTGGAGCTGAAAAATATTCAGAACATGCATTTGTTTTAATATGGAAAAATCATGTTTAACACTAATTCCGAAACGAAGATAATAAGTTTAATGCAAAAACAACATTACGAGGTAAGACTACTACAACGAAACGAAACAAATAAATACATATTAATTATATAGTTATCGTATTAATGCATAAAGTCCCTGGCCGAATTATTGGACGCACTATAAGATTCTGTGTTAAATCTTAATTATCAGGTGATTATTCGACGCTATACAAGATTCTGTGTTAAATCTTAATTATCAGGTGATTCAATACAGCTTTATTGTTTTTACGTGACTGTAACCGGTTTGTACTTGTTTACGTTCGTGTATCAATTACTTAAATGAGACGATATATAATATAAATCCGACGATTGGATAAATTAGACGATATATTACATAAGGATAAAATATTTATTATATCTGGTATTATATTAGTATATTATAATAATTAGACCAAATTATTCGACGCTATACAAGATTCTGTGTTAAATCTTGATTATCAGGTGATACAATACAGCTTTATTGTTTTTACGTGACTGTAGCCTGTTTGCACTTGGTTGCGTTAGTGTATTAATTGGTGAAATTAGACAATATATAATATAAATTCTACGAATGGATAAATTAGACGATATATTATATAAATATAGAATATTTATTATATCAGGTATTATATTGGTATATTTTAATAATTAGACCAAATTATTAGACCCATTATAAGATTCAGTGTAAATTCTTAATTACCAGGTGATACTATACATCTTTATTGTTTTTATGTGACTGAAACCAGTTCGCACATGTTTACGTTAGAATATCAATTGGTTAAATAAGACGATACATAATATAAATTTGAGGATATTATAATTTAGACGATATATTATACAAATATAGAATATTTATTACATCAGGTATTATATTAGTATAGTATAATAATTAGAGCAAATTATTAGATGCACTGTATCGTTTTAAAAATTACACGTTTTGCACGAGTTTATAGGCAATACTTTAATATTTAAACATTCATGTAATGGGTTTTTATTCAGGAGATTTTTTATATACTTCCTATTTGTATATATTTTTAATGTATTGCATTGCAATGTTAACTAATTGATACATGAACATAAACAAGCGTAAATCGATTTCAGCAGCGTAAAAACAATAATGCTGTATAGTATCACCTGATAATTAAAATTTTACATAAAATCTCATAGCTTGTCTAATAATTTGGCCATGGTCTGTATGTTTTTAAATGGCCATTGGCTGTATTGTTTATACTCCTTAATTATAAATTTATAACATTTTTTGAAGCATTTTGTAAATCAGATTTACGTTTAAAGCATTTTTGATGTTATGTTATAACCTAAATATTAAAATTACTTGAGAAAATCAAAAAGCAGAAAATATACATTACTACTAATCTTTAAATGTAAACTTTTTTAAAAAATTAATTTTCCATTATTTTCATAAAAAAGTAAGATATAAAATATTGTGTGATATTTTTAGAAATTGAGTTTACATAATCTCATTTCATTTTCCAGGTATTGTGTATTTTATTATATGAAGAATATTTAGAAATGTGCTGCCAAGACTGAAAAGGCGGAAATTATTTATTGTTATTTTAAAAACACTGAATTTTCTTATACTTTCTTCAAAAATCTTATAAGAAAATCTTAAAGAACATTTTAAGATAAACATTGTGTGAAATGAACACAAGACTTGTAAAATTATCTAAGACTATATCAACACGATTTTTGTAAGTTCCACGCATATTTGATTTCATAATTTTTGGTGCAAAACCAAAGATTTTTTTTAAATAATAAAATTGAAGATTAACAATTTTATTTTCTGCTTTTCTTTATTCTGTATTTTTCATCTTAGAATTTATTAAGCTCTTAAAAAGAGCACTTTATTTACCCTCCCCCATACTTTCCCGTCTTCTTAAATTTGGTATTGATAGTAAACTTCGTTTTAATTCCAAATTTATCTGGTTGTTCGAAAAAATGAAAATGAAAGACGATTTTCTTGCAGTGAATAAATATTTTATTCAATCCTATATCATTCATTCAAGTTTAAAACCTTTTGCCAGTGAATAAATATTTTATTCAATCCTATATCATTCATTCAAGTTTAAAACCCTTTGCCAGTGAATAAATATTTTATTCAATCCTATATCATTCATTCAAGTTTAAAACCTTTTGCCATTTTTCTGGATTTAATCCCAGAGACCTCAACAATAAAAAAACGCTCATAACACATAAAATTTTCAATTAATTTATAATTTCCTAGATATAATTTCATTTATTCTCCTGTTTCCATGGCAACTAGAACATTTTTCTTTATGTTGAAATTTAATAGTATGTTATCGAACATAAACGATTAGTTTGTTTTTTCAGGTTTGTCGCTGCAGCCTAGATGCTCTGACAGATTAAATTTAGGTAATGGACATACAGGTGGCTGCAATCAAGATCAATTTTGGTTTAAGCTACAGCCTCTGACCAAATTATTAGACGCACTATAAGATTCTCTGTAAAATCTCAATTGCCAGGTGATACTATACAGCTTTATTGTTTTTATGTGACTGAAACCGGTTTGCATTTGTTTACGTTCGTGTATCAATTAGTTAACATTGTAATGCAATACGTTAAAAAAAAATAATATATTAATGCAAATAGGAAGTAGTATGGAACCGATTATCCGGAACGGTCGGGACCATCGCTATTCCGGATAACTGATTTTTCCGGTTTTCTGAATCGCTACAAAAAGCATTTTTTTTATTGTTAAACCCAACTAAAAAAAAAAAATTGTAAATAATCTTAAAAAGAAGANTTTTTGCGTTTTCGGTTATATCTTTACACTTTAATTGTTTTTACGCGACTGAAACCGGTTTGTACTTGTTTATGTTCGCGTATCAATTAGTTAACATTGTAATACAATACGTTAAAAAAAATAATATATTAATGCAAATAGGAAGTAGTATGGAACCGATTATCCGGAACGGTCGGGACCATCGCTATTCCGGATAACTGATTTTTCCGGTTTTCTGAATCGCTACAAAAAGCCTTTTTTTTATTGTTAAACCCAACTAAAAAAAAAAAATTGGAAATAATCTTAAAAATAAGAAAAAACGATGAAGTAATACACTAATGATTATTTCCAAAATGATTGTAAGGTAAACATCTTTAAGAAAAGAAAGAAAAATCGTAAAATCTTATGAGGAAAAAAAATTTTGTTTAAAAAAAATGGCGAGAAAATTTATCGAATTTCGTTCCGGTTTTTTGGTTTTCCGGTTTTCTGATTTCCGGATAACGGGTTCTGTACTGTATATAAAAATTCTCCTAAATAAAAACCCATTGACCAAAAGTATTGCAAATAAAGTCGTGCAAAGCATGCAATTATTAAAACACTACAGTGCGTCGAATAATTTGGTCTAATTATTATAATATACTAATATAATACCTGATATAATTAACATTCTGTTTTTATCTGATATATCGTCTAATTTATCTAATCGTCAAATTTTTATTATATGACGCCTAATTTTGACTAATTAAAACAGGAGCGTAAGCAAGTGCAAGCCAGTTTCATCCGAGTAAAAAGAATAAAGCTGTTTTAGTATCACCTGATAATTAATATTTTGCATAGAATCTAATAGTGCGTCTAATAATTTGGTCAGCGACTGTATATATTATAAAATCATAGTTAGACATTACTTATTTCTTACCAATTGAAGTTTTGTTAAATGTTTTTTCCACCAGATGTATTTCTGTACTGAAGGCCCAAACGCTGATAAGGCGTAATATGAATACATCCAAATGTGTACAAATGTATTTAATAAAGGTAGAATTGTAGTGTAACCACCTTAAAAAGGAAGAAAAAATATATTTAAACTTCACAAAACATACATTTCACTTATAAAAAATTTTAAACTAATAATTATTGAAAAAAAATTTTGTTTATTTATATATATATATATATATAAACACAATTATTACAATAATATAAAAATAAAATAATATAAATAGAAAACTATTACTGGGAAAAACCAAAAGTCTTCCTCAAGACACATCTTTATAATTTAATACGATATTTCTGATGAATAAAGAACATCGATCTTAAGATAATTATTATTTATATGTGTCGATATCGCTAAGAAATTCAGTTAAAAAAGAGCATGAAGTAAAAGTAAGCAGAAACCAAACTTACCGCCTTGTAGCAAAATGTGGTTTAGGTTTAAAAGTAAAATATTAATTTAACAGTTAACAAATTTCACGAAGAAGCAAAATCTTTAAAGTTGAGCTTGAAGCTTGAATTGAATAAAATTAAATTAAAAAATATATATTTGATCGGAAAAAATTGAAGCAAGTAGCATATCAGTGCTGCCATCTATGAGAAAAACTATTGAAAAAAATTTATTCTGAAAAATTATTTAATAAAACCCATAATAATCAGGAAAAAATGTTATTAATTTTATTACAACAATAAAAAATAATAAAAAAACATTCAAAATAGGTAAACGTTGTAATTTAAATAACAGACTAAAATAAGGAATAAATCATTCCATTTTTCATAGTGTGTCATCCAATTCCATCTTTCATAGTGTGTCAATTAATCATCCTCGATCAAGATAAAACTTATTTTTAGAGCTATTTAGCTATTTATGATCATTGTTTGTTATAAAATAACTTTGAAATTGCTTATTTTTCACTTTAACTGTCTATCATTAGTTATTTCATAGAATAACTAGGTAATGTACGAAATTTTTCATCTGTTATATACTTTAACTAACGTGTCTATTTATTTCACAATCTGTGAATGAATAAATGGATGCATGAATGGGTCTGCCCTATAAACGGGTTGTGACGTGTGTGTGGCTATAGTCATATCCTTGGGCCATAGATGGCGCCACTGAAAACACACACTCTGCAGTAAATTTGCTTGGTTTCACCAAACAGGCTTGCTAATATTTTCAAGTGGCAGTATTATTAAGAACTGGCATACATTTTCCACCTTAAGAGAAAAAAAAATTTTAAAACACGAAATGTGAGAAAACTTATTTACGAGGTGAGGTGTACATAATGTTAAATTATCTAATGTAACATATTATAATTTATCCTGGAGTATAATTACAATCATCAATCACTAATAATCGATCAAACATTTAATTCAATAAGAAGCAATATATCATTCCTTACCTCCTGCATACTTAACTCCGTACCATGATGTTACTGGAACAATGGCATGATGAAAAACATGAAGGAAAGAAATCTGAGAATATTTTTTTCGAAGGATGATAAATATCTGGAAAAAAAATTTCAGTTTCATTTTTATATTATACACATCATTTAACATTGAATAAAAGAGCATTGTATAGTTATGTAATACGCATACCAAGATAAGTTTGCGTGTAAATCGGCCTATTTAGCTCTTACTTTCCGATTTTTTATTTATCTTTTCATAAACTCATAAAATCTTTAATTTTTAGAAGATATAATTAGAAAGCATTATCTCAATTTTTTTATTTTATTTCAAAATTTAAAAGTTTTTTACAGTCTTTAATAAAATAAATGGTAATTTATTTTGGAAAAAAATCGTTAATCTATTTTATCACCGAAATTCCAAAATCCGAATCAAGGAACTAATTAATTCTGAAGCAAGGTACAATTAAGGAACTAATCAAAAGATTAAATGAATGCGAAATGCCCTTTTGATCTATACCTAGATATTGTGCGGGTAAATCGGCATATTTAGCTTTTATTTCCGATTTTTTATTTCTCTTTTCATAAACTTATAAAATCTTTAATTTTCAGTAGATATAATTAAAAAACATTATCTAATTTTTTTTTTTTTTTTTTTTAAATTTAAAATTTTTTTTACAGTCTTTAATAAAATAAATGGCAATTTATTTTGGAAAAAAATCGTTAATCTATTTTATCATCGAAATTCCAAAATCCGAATCAAGGAACTAATTAATTCTGAAGCAAGGTACAATCAAGGAACTAATCAAAAGATTAAATGAATGCGAAATGCCCTTTTGATCTATACCTATATTCTGCGGGTAAATCGGCATATTTAGCTTTTACTTTCCGATTTTTTATTTCTCTTTTCATAAACTCATAAAATCTTTAATTTTTAGAAGATATAATTAAAAGGCATTATCTCAATTTTTTTATTTTATTTCAAAATTTAAAAGTCTTTACAGTCTTTAATAAAAAAAATGGTAATTTATTTTGGAAAAAAATCGTTAATCTATTTTTACCGAAATTCCAAAATCCGAATCAAGGAACTAATCAAAAGATGAAATGAATGCGAAATGCCCTTTTGATTTTTACCTAGATATTGTGCGGGTAAATCGGCATATTTAACTTTTACTTTCCGATTTTTTATTTCTCCTTTTATAAACTTATAAAATCTTTAATTTTTAGTAAATATAATTAAAAAACATTATCTCATTTTTTTTTTATTTTATTTTAAAATTTAAAAGTTTTTTACTTTCTTTAATAAAATAAATGGTAATTTATTTTGGAAAAAAATCGTTAATCTCTTTTATCACCGAAATTCCGAAATCCGAATCAAGGAACTAATTAATTCTGAAGCAAGGTACAATCAAGGAACTAATCAAAAGATTAAATGAATGCGAAATGCCCTTTTGATCTATACCTAGATATTGTGCGGGTAAATCGGCATATTTAGCTTTTACTTTCCGATTTTTTATTTCTCTTTTCATAAACTTATAAAATCTTTAATTTTTAGTAAATATAATTAAAAAACATTATCTTAATTATTTTTAGTACCATAAAATTTAAAATTTTTTTACAGTCTTTAATAAAATAAATGGTAATTATCAGTTGATACTATACAGCTTTACTGTTTTTATGTGACTGAAACCAATTTACACTTGTTTACGTTCATGCCTCAATTGGTTAAAGGAGGCGATTATAATACAAATTCAACGATTGGATAAATTAGACTACATATTATATAAATATAAAATATTTATTACATCAGGTATTATACTATCATGCTGTAATAATTCGATCAAATTATTAGACACACTGTAGTTTTCTTAAATCTAAATTATCTGGTGATACTACACAGCTTTATTGTTTCTACGAGGGTGAAACTGGTTTGCACTTGCTTACGTTCGTGTATCAATTGGTTAACATTGTAATGCAATATGTTAAAAATAAATACAAATAGGAAGTATATAAAAAATCTCCTGAATAAAAACCCATTACATGTATGTTTAAATATAAAAGTTTTGCATACAAACTCGTGCAAAACATGTAATTATTAAAACATTACAGTGAGTCTAATAATTTGTCTAATTATTATTATATACTAATATAATACCTGAAATAATAAGTATTCTACTATTTTTAAGTATTCTATATTTATCGTCTAATTTATTTTATCGTCTAATTTAACCAATCTATACACGAGCGTAAACAAGTACAAACCGGTTTCAGTCATATAAAAACAATGAACCTGTATAGCAATATCTGATAATTAAGATTTTACATAGAATCTTATAGTGTGTCTAATAATTAGGTCAGGAACTGTAGATGATTGAATGGAAGGATGTGTAACTTAGATGGCATAAGTTTTAGTTCGACCTTTTTAAAAAAGTTTTTAAAAGACATTCATTAAGTCATGGCTGGTTAAAAATGATGATATATTACTTAACTGTTGAAGTTGAGTGGCTTATAATTCCAAAAATGAATGGGTTTTTAAAGAAAGGACTAAAAAGACTAGTCTAAAAATAGGCCAAGTATTATGATTTAAAAGCAATAAAAATGTCCATAAACTGGGTATTTTATTATTGTTATTTCTTTCATGCCTTTGTATTTTTTACACCTCTTAAAAAGGGACGTTATTTTAATAATTTTTATGCTGTAAAAATATCGAGATGCGGAATTACCTTTTTAACTTTTTTATGCTAATGATAGCGATGTAAAAAAAAAAAGAAAATTACTTATCAACTTATTGGTATGATTGGTGTATAAATCGAAGAAAAAAGTAGGTAAAAGACCAGTGAATTCTAATATTGTTCGATATACTATACTTTAAGGTAACAACAATTAATAATTCGCAAATAAAGAAACTGATGGCGAGCGGGAATGACTTACTGTATCGAAGAATTCTACAAATTTACTAAGGTAATAAACATAACAGGTGAACAGCATCTAGAAAGAAAAAATAATGTTATTGAAAATAATAAAATTTTGCAAATATCAATTTTTGTACAAATATTTAAATTAAGTCAATTTAAATTATTATCCTAGTTCAAAATTAATCATTGAGTCCACTGTACAGTTTTTATTGCTCAGCAGCAAAAAAAATACGTCTATAATCGTTACTTTTTCAAACTTTTATAAATGCTAATTTCAAAAAATCCCCCATAATTTATCAACATTAAAAAAAAATTAAAATAATTAAATCCGAACATTTGAGAAAGAGCACCATAGCGGATATCTAAAACTTAGCATGTATGCCTAATTTTCCAGATATGTTTATCTATCAAATAATGAATGAAAATGCACAATAATAGGTGTTATCCAATGACCATCCTTACTGTATATTTATACAACTCTTGTCAAAAATGAAGTAAAAAATTGAACATTGGATTCTGAAAGTTAATATTTAAGTCAGAAAAAGAAAACGCTAATGAAATCATAATAACCCACCAGAGTAAGTTACACACACAAATGTCATAACCTATTTATGTGTAATGTTCAGTGCTTTTAACAATGTAACTAGGCTCGTTAACCCACTGACGATTTAGCAATTAATAATATAATATATATATTAATTAATATATATAATAATTAATGTAATAATTACATAATATAATTATATATAATTACATAATAATTGTATATATAATATAATAATTATATATAACATTCTCCCAAAGGGCGAAATTGGGAGAATGTTATATGTATACTAATATACTATTTTTCTATCCAATAACATGGAAAACTGGCTTTTCAAGACGTCACAAAATACTTTTCCTTCTTCAGCATTCATATTTATCTTAAAATCACCGCCAAGCCGATAATTATTCGTTAATAATAAAAAGAATATAAAAAATACTTTAAATTATTATTATGCAAATACATTAAAAATGCCTGCTAGTGAAAATAGAAAGAAAAACAGCAGCGGTCGCCATAGGAACGCATGCAATGACGACGCATGCGTACTGCATACTATTACTCTTGAGCACAGTTGAAAAGTGTGTGCACGCCATCAAATCCAAACCAAGACCCATTTTGCTAATGGGTAATATAAAATACGAGTTTAAAAATGAAATTTAGCGAAGTTAACTGAGGAAATGGATAAGGCTCAAACTTTTTGTGGTCTGTTTAATTCGCCGATTTTGTCATTTACATTCCATTCCATAACTTGCTTTCTTAATTACATGTTTCAGCGAGCAAAAATATTAACTTATTAATTTATTAAATTATATATCTTTTTATTTCCAGTGACAGAAGATCTTGACTATTTGAAACTCCTTTTATTTCCAGTTTTGTCAAAGGCGCAACTGTGAAGTAAATTGGGAATGACCTCTCTCCAAACATTTGAAGCGCAAAAATAAATTCCCATTATTTATGTCATTATATTAATTATTATGTAATAATGTATCGTGACTGTAAATTTTAGTTAACAAATAAATAAGGATTGCTTTGCTGAATACCACCACGTTGTGCAATCTAATAACTATTTTTCAAATAATTCTTACCTTGAAAAAAAAAAGAAAATATTTGAAAAAATGCTAACTTTCAGTAGACAATTAAATTAAAATAAGGATCATTACAATTACATTGAAATCGTCTGCACACTGGCCACAGTCCATATCCAAATTATTAGACGCACTATAAAATTCTACGTAAAATCTTAATTATCAGGTGATGTTAAGATTGTACAGCTGTATTATTTTTACTCGGATGAAACCGGTTTGCATTTGTTTACACTCCTGTGTCAATTGATTAACATTGTAATGCAATACGTTAAAAATACAATACAAATAGGAAGTATATAAGTATATGAAAAATTTCCTGAATAAAAACCCATTACACGTACGTTTAAATATAAAAGCATTGCCAATAAATTCGTGCAAATCATGTAATTATTAATAAACTACAGTGCGTCTAATGATTTGATCTAATTATTATTATATACTAATATAATACTTGATATAATAAATATTCTATATTTATATAATATATCGTATAATTTATCCTATCGTGAAATTTACATTATGTATCGTCTAATTTAACCAATTGATACACTAACGTAAACAAATGCAAACCGGTTTCAGCCGCGTGAAAACAATAAAGCTGTATAGTATCAACTGATAATTTACATGGAATATTATACTGCGTCTAATAATTTGGGCAAGGACTGTAGTATTTTTTTTCTAAATTTCATTATATCTAAAATATGTCTTACCTTTACAGCAGTTTCGTCATTTGAATAATTAATTGGTTCGCAGCGCCAACTGTACGTAGTTAACCAGATTAGTGAAAACTGCAAAATTATGAGAGAAAGACATCTTATTTGTAAATCAATTAAAAATGATTAGCATTCATTAAATAATTACTATTGCATTTATTTTCATGTGATTTACGGGAGCGTGTTCGGCGATGCAGAAATTAAATATAACTTAATGAATTTTACTTTCTTTCATTATGATAAAGCGTTTTATTTCGCAATAAAACATTGAAACGGGTTATATTGGTTTCTCAATAAATTGGTTTGCTTATTCAGTCATTTGGTTGTACTCGGCTGAGCTTGGGTGTTAAGTAAAACAAAATATAAATTTTCCTATTTATTATTTAATGACGAAGCAGTTATCGATAGAGAAATTTTAATGAAAACGTTTCTATAATATTTTATGAAAAATAGTTACAGTTAAAATCAAAGTAGTTACAGGCCAATCATTCAAAAGTTTGAACTCAAACGTTAGCGTTTTCGGGGGAAAATACACTAATGTAAGAAATTAAGAGAATTTGCAGACTTGATCGATTATCTCTAGAACTACTGGACCGGATTTAATGTAATTTGATATATACATGCATTGATACAATACAAAACAAATAACCATTCAACAATTGTAATACGCACGCATGATCGTGCGTAACACTCGTTGGCGTCGGAAGGTATGAAATGGCCGCAAGACAATTCAGGACAATTGCGACAGGAAATGATAAACTGCTTTATTTCTTTATTTCAAGTATGAAATCATACTGCAAGGCCTGTATATCAGTAAGGGGGGACCATACTCCCTATTAACCCATTTTTTTTTGTTTATTCTGCAACCGCTGTTTCATACCTTCCGACTCCAACGAGTGTTACGCACGATCATGCGTGTGTATTACAATTGTTGAATGATTATTTGTTTTGTACTGTATCAGTGTATGTAAATTTCATATTTCATTGAAACCGGTCCAGTAGTTCTAAAGGGACCTCGCCTGCAAATTCTCTTAATTTCTTACACAAGTGTATGTTCCCTCATATGCACCCGCATCATAGTTGAAATCATCACTTCGTCATACATCAATTAACATTGTGGAAATATTAATGTCGTTTGTTTTTTCATAAATAGCATGCCCAGATAGCAAAATAAGGTTTATTTTCACTCAACAAAAACCTTTTATAATGTAAACCTAAAAAGGTTTGATATGCGGTTTACGTGTAAACCTTAAAACGAGATTTGTGACAATCTTCTCTATTCTACGCACATTACGCTAATCCAAAACCTTGGAAAACAACCTTCTATATAAAAATCTTAAATCGAGGTTGAGTTAGGGTTTTCAAGTTTTAAAAAATCCTTTAATGAAGCTAGTCTCAAGGTGAAAATAATCCTAAATCTAGGTAATTATAAGGTTTCTTTTCGCAAAGTCTTGTATGCTCAGCTAAATTCCACCTTGTCATGAAATTTTCATGGACAATGCAATTTGATCCTATCGCTAGTGTGACGTCATCTAAAACGTCATTATGGACCTAAGTGACCATTTTACCAAAGTGGCAATACTTATTACAAAAAGAGCTAAAATTTTAATCCTTTTAGGATGAAAGGTTTGAAACAGAAATATTTTTGCTTCATTGAAAAAAGGTTTTTAGTACAAGCATTTTCGTGACAATAAAAAGAAAACTTCGACTCAATATTGGAGTAAGGTTATATGCTTTCTGGAATAATAACAAGAAAAAGTCGTTTGGTTGCCTAGCAACTAGCCAGAGTTGTAGTTATTATATTTACAAGAGTTGGCAGACGATTTAAAACAATTATTTAAACTAACTGTCCATTGATGTCACAACAAAGGGTTCCAAACTTTGGATCGCTCTCCTGATCAAACTACGGGGATTATATTTCCCAGATTGCGACTACCCCCTATATTCTGGGGGTCAAAAATCCAAATCCGTGAAAATACTGGTAAGAGATGGTTTGATGAGAGACTTACATTAACGAGAATGATTTAAAAATTCTGCCCATTCGAATAATAATATTAATATTGCATAACATTCGAAAATGTATGGTTTTATATTATCATTAATATCAAGCTTAAGGTTTTCAATGCATAGATATATTTTCTTGCCTTTGTGTTCTTTCAAAATTATCGAAATTTTTCCTGAATGTTTTGTGAATTTCCGTCTTTCTCGCTTGACAAACATGAAACTCCTAGTTTCTGGCAGTACTACAATTTACTGCTTTCGAAAAAATTTAACTACCATCATTTAATCGAAATATCTTAGACAACGCTAGAAAATGCTAAAAAAAGATTGCATTTGCTACCAGCTTTATATTTATTATAAAATTAATAAGTTTTTAAGGCGACAAGGGGGTTTCAAATTTTTATATTTTTATTTTTAACCAATTTACTTGAAAGTTTTATAGATTATAGATATTGATAAAATAAGTGTAGAAATTAAAATTCAGAGTGATATGTTAAAAATTTAATTAGTTATTAANTCCGGCTGTCAAAGGAAATGGCTCCCCAGACCATAATGCCTTGTTGAGGGCCGGTGTGGCGTGCAATAGTGAAGGCAGGATCCCCCCTCTGCCCTGTGCGTCTCCAAACACGTCTTCGATGATCGTCAGGACACAGTTGGAAGCGGGATTCGTCACTAAAGACTATACGTCCCCAGTCGGCATCATTCCAGCCGGATCTGTTCAAAGCATTCATGCATACGAAATTTCAAAGCAATCGGATGATTCCTTCTTGGTGCATGGATTTTTTTGATATAGAGTGTATTTTATAAAAAGTAGTTACAGTTAAAAGGCCAATCATTCAAAAGTTTTAACTCAAACGATAGCATTTTCGGGAAAATACACTGATATAAGAAATTAAGAGAATTTGCAGACTTGGTTGATTATCTCTAGAACTACAGGACCGATTTTAATGAAATTTGATAAGTACATACACTGATACAGTACAAAACAAATAATCATTCAATAATTGTAATACGCACGCATGATCGTGCGTAACACTCGTTGTGGTCAAAAGGTATGAAATGGCCGCTGGACAATTCAGGACAATTGCGACAGGAAACGATAAACTGCCTTATTTCAAGTATGAAATCACTCTACAAGACCTGTATATCTGTAAGAGGGGACCACACTCCCTTATTAAACCAATTTTTTTTGTTTATTCTGCAACCACTGTTTCATACTTTCCGCCTCCAACGAGTGTTACGCGCGATCATGCGTGTGTATTACAATTGTTGAATGATTATTTGCCTTGTATTGTGTCAGTGTATGTAGATATCAAATTACATTAAAATCGGTCCAGTAGTTCTTGAGATAATCGACCAAGCTTGGCAAATTTTATTCATTTCTTACCCCAGTGTATGTTCACTCATAATATGTATGCACCCACAATCATAGTTGTTTGACATGTTTGTTTTTTCATAAATAACATACCCAGATAGCAAAATAAGGTTTATTTTCACTCAACAAAAACCTTTCATAATGTAAACCTAAAAAGGTTTGATATGCGGTTTACGTGTAAACCTTAAAACGAGATTTTAACAATCTTCTCTATTCTACGCACATTGCCCTAATTCAAAACCTTTGAAAACAACCTTCTATACAAAAACCTTAAATCGAGGTTGAGTTAGGGTTTTCAAGCTTTAAAAAATCCTTTAATGAAGCTACTCTCAAGGTCAAAATAATCTTAAATCTAGGTAATTATAAGGTTTCTTTTCGCAAACTCTTGTGTGCTCAGTTAAAATCCACCTCGTCATGAAATTTTATAGGACAATGCAATTTGATCCTATCGCTAGTGTGACGTCAGTTAAAACGTCATTATGAACTTAAGTGACCATTTTACCTAAGTGGCATTACTTATTTAAAAAAAAGAGTTAAAAAAATCATTTTTAATCCTTTTAGGATGAAAGGTTTGAAACAGAAATATTTTTGCCTCATTGAAAAAAGGTTTTTAGTACAATCATTTTCGGGAGAATAAAAACTTCGACTCAATATTGGAGTAAGGTTTTATGCTTTCTGTAATAATAACAAGAAAAAGTCGTTTGGTTGCCTAGCAACTAGCCAGAGTTGTAGTTATTATATTTACAAGAGTCGGCAGACGATTTAAAACAATTATTTAAACTAACTGTCCATTGATGTCGCAGCAAGTTGTTCGGAAAAATTTTAAATCAGCAATTATAAAGTAAAGATTAATATTTTCATACTTACTCTGAAAAACATCCATAAGCTACCGATGACTAACGTGAAATTATATAAAATCATAAGATATCTGACTTCAAATGGTTTCCTGTTTTGCATCCATTTTGGTCCTATGATTTTCACGAATAGAAGATACAAGGCAGTGGCTGCGATTGTTTTGTGTGGGGAATGCATTAGAGGATATGAATTAAGCCTTGGATCTAAAAAAAAAGTTTTTAGTTTAGTTTTGACTCTTAGACTTAAATCAGACTTAATACATGGAACAGGATGTGTTACACAGAAAAAGAAAAGTACCTTTAAAATTTCATTACTAATTTGTAAACAGTTGGGAAAAAATGGGATTTTAGAAGGGTTTTAAATTTTCTTTTTTTTTCAATGAGCTGCACAATTAGTTTTTCCCGATGAGCAGACCTATTGCGTTCTCCAGAGGTGGTATCCACTCTTTCAGGACCACCGTAATGGGTGAAATACCGTTGGTCATGTTAATTTAGACGTCTAGTTTCTGCCACACTAGATGGCAGCACCGAGACTCTATTTGAATGCTAAAGTGCACTAGGAATTTAATTTTGCCGGAAACGCCAAGAGTCAATAAGGCACTCCAGGGATCTTTTACCTGCCGCATAATCATACGACATGGCCGCTGAGGATTTTCTGCATCCCGAAAAGCCGGTGTCTGGGCCGGGGATCGAATCGCAGACTTGGGCTCAGAAGGCCGACGACAAACCAACTGCGCCACCCAGCCATGTGGTTTAAATTAGGTTGCTAGAACTTTACGTAATATCAAAAGATTCCCAGAAATCTAAGTCAGGGGGAAATGATTTTAGCGGGAGAAAACTCAGACATATGATTAGAAATGTAGAGAATTAATGCGATGGAAGATCATTTAATGTCTTGATTTTAAACTTTCATTCCATGTTTCTTTCGTAAAAAAACTTGCAAAATCAAAATATTAAATGATTTTTTAATAACTGTTTTTTATCATCCATTGTTTTATTACCTTGTACGAACTTGTTCCCCATTCTCTATCAGTCAATCTTTTTACTCAAGGAAACAGGTTTACTTGCTTTCCTTTTTCAATCTATGTTTAAAACCCGTTTGAAGGTTCTTCATTATAGAACCGAAACTATGGAATGCTCATTTATGGGGTGCTATTCGTATTTTTTACCCTTTGTTTAGCTTTACTCATACCTTCCTCTAAGTTTATCTATTCCTTAATTAGATATAGGCTTTGAGTTAGACAACAGAAGTACTATAAAGAATATTCCATAAGTATAAACAAAATGTTACAAACCTCCATTTTTCATTACGTAATCAATATCCACTTCCATTTTCCAAAGATATTTGCTTTTAGGTACAAAATAATTTCCAAATTTTGATAGTGAAAATATGCTTCAAATCTAAAAACAAAAGTAGTTTGGATTAGCATATTAACAAAACAATTGCTTCTGAAAAATAATTTAATGAATATAAAAATTACATTAAAAATAAATCCTTTACAGATCTTAATTCTTAATCTCGAACTTTCGTTAGAGGAAAAGGTGCATCATCCTCTTGATACACCATATTTATATTTTCGTAAGTAGAATATGCGTCTCGAGGTTAAATGATTTTCCTTCTCTCCACACTTTTTTCCTCTCCGTTTCTATAGTTTCAGCGAAGCTGCTTTATTTCCTACTGCAGCACGTTTCAATAAGAAATTAGAATTTACTTACATGAGAGAAAAAGCAAGATTTGTTGTCACCATGGGAGTGGCGGGGGGATAGATCATAAAAAAAAACGATAGAATCATTTATTTAAAAATTAAATATTCATATGCGTGATTCGAATTTCCCATACTGTCTGAAATATGTAGGGATATTTCAAAACCACGTGAAAATCAATATCAATGACTACCGAAAATACACTGCATGGGTTTGCGATAATATCGGCATAAAGTGAGCGCGTCTAAAAATGATTATTTAAATGCGTAATTTAAATTTTACGTGTAAAATTAATATTAACTGCGAAATAACCGTAATTTTAAAAACTTCGAGGAATTCGGTCGCACTGACAATAAAAAGTCGAAGCAACGATGAAATCGTCACATTAAAAGTAACATTTTTTTTTTTTAATGAGAAAATTTGTAGCAATAACTGTCGAAAGAATGATTGAAATACCGCATGGATTAAAGAGAATATCGACGCAAAACGAGTGTATCAAAGAATGATTTCTTGAATCCGTGATTCGAATTTCGCGTTCCGTAATAATATCGGTATATTTCAAAAATTCACGAGAACATAAGTAGCAACTGAGCCATTGCTTACTTTAATTAATACATTAATACTTTTCTTAAACTACCTATTTGCTCTAAATACCCCCAAAATGACATTTACTATGATGTATGTGTATGTACAGTCCGCAAAAAAAAAAAACGAATCACCCTGAATAACTTTCGTTCTAATGATCGGATTTAAATGAACTAAGTGCCAATCTTAATGGTTCTAGGGGGTGACCTCAAATATGCTAATTAATTAGTGCTAGCTATTAATTAAGTTACGAAATCAGACACAAAAACGTACTTTCTCTGAGTAAATATATATCTTTTTTACATATTTGGGATCCTGACCCTTGAAGTAGACAAAATTTTGAAAAAATTTGGTCGAAAATTGGGGCGCAATAAAGGTTTATATATTTGGCGAAAGTTTAAAATAATGCCAAATTACCTCGCCATAGAAAGTGAAACAATTTAAAACAACCATAAAGAAACTGAATGAATGGACGAGACGTCATAATATTGTGCGCCTCTGTTGCTATAGGCAACCAAGAAGAGAATTTTTGGATCTGCTTTCTGGGTATAGAAAATATGTAGTATTCGTTTTAATACTTAGAAAATAAAATTTGAATTTAAAATGAAGAAGTGAAAATGAAATTATTTTTGATTTTCCAATATTTCAAAATTTAAACGTTGAACTTATTATCTGACATTTTTTATTTTTTTTAAAGATGTTATCTGTATAAAAATGCTGTACTGAAACCAAATTTACTTAAGTTATTATAAATTTATGATTTATGANATCTTGGTGGCCATACACCCATTCACTGATCGCAGCTAGTGATTTTCGACGAGCTAGTGATTTTCGATTCAAAATGCAGATAAAACAAAGGAAAAATTACAGAACAGTGACAAAAGGGGAAAAAAAGAAAAATAATTAAAAAAAAATAAAAATAACAAAAAACAGGAAGAAAAAAGGGACGAAATTTTTTTTTTTTTAAAAGTCCGGAAAATAAAAGATATAATCTTTTCGTCAGCCCACACGATTTTATCCGCAATATTAGATCACTAATTTTACTTGCATTTTTATTTTATTGTGAAAGTCATTTTTATATTATTGTGATTATGACAAATATTTAGGTTCCATGTTTTTCTTAAATAAGTAGGATTCGCAAATAGCATTCTTCGTTCATTTTCGTTCATTTAAAAAACAAAACAATCTGTTTTATTTTTTCGCGATGCACAAATACGCATTTACTTTTCATTACTCGAATAAATAAGAAACAATAAAAAAAAAGAAAATTAATAATTTATCTTCATTTTTCGTAAGCAATAGTATTCTTAGTAAATAGTCAGCTGTTCTGCATCGAATGATATTGTGTGTGATCAGTAGAATATTTTTAATTTCTTAACAAGATTTAATTCTCAGATAGCTGGCAATAGTTCTAAGTTTTTAATCAATAAAAACTTAACAATAACTTAAAAAGTAATTTTATTTTAAAGGAAAACATAAATTAAAGTACTAAAACGATTGATTAGTGTATTATTGGAAAATAATATGTATAATAGCATATGAAATAAGATTTTGCGTTAAAATTTTATTAAAAAGTTAGAAAAATAATTCTGCGAAACAAGTGCAGACAGATAATTTACAAATTTATTTTAAGATTAAGGCGATATATAAGAAGTAACGAAGTTTTAAGATCATTAAAAATGCTGACTACCTATTTTTATTAATATTTATAAAATATATATTCAAGAAATTGATAAATATATTATTCCAAATCTATGCATACGTATGTATATTATTGAAATTGTATCAGTTATTGAAAAATAAAATCGAAAAATAAAAAATAATCACATTAAATAAGCACAATCTGGTGTATAATCATACTCTATTAGAAGCGCGTTTTTATAAAACTAGACATTCGTTGAATAAAGTATTTTTTATTCAACTAGAGGGCTCCGCCCCCTGCTCGCTGACGCTCGCCAACCCCCGGAGAATTGCTTCGCAATTCTTGCTTGGTTTGCTTCGCAAAACCAAGNTGCAAATAAATTATTAAGCGACTAAAAAAGAAATATAGTATTTTATAGTTTGAAAGAAATAAAAATAAAAACGAGCTACGCGCGCGAAGTCAAGTTCCTCGCAAGTTTATCACATTTTAATATTAATCGCCCCATTTAATTATTTCTTTATTGACGCCAAATTATTTTTTTAAAATGATTAACTTTAATTTTTCTCAGCTTCTAATAAATAAAAACAGTTGAAACTTTAGATTTTCCAATTGAAAAATGTGCAGATTAATATGGAATAAAAAAATTCATACCTTATAATTCAAAATTTTTTCATCCTTAATTTAATTAAATAATAAATAATTATTAAAAATTATTTTTTTCACGAAATAATCTTTGGGTAAATGAGTTTTATGAGGGGATGCAATTTTCTTTGAATTGCTTTATTAGTTTTAAAAATATGACTAAAAACGTAAAAAGTGAAATTAACATTAAGGGGTACGAAATTTTGATCGCTCTCCTGACCAAACTATGGCGACCATATTTCCCAGATTGCGGCTACCCCCTATATTTTGAAGGTCAAGAATCCTAATATGTAACAAAAAATGCATGTTTATTCATAGAAAGTACGTTTTTGTGTCCTATTTCGTAACTTAATTATGGGTTAATTTATGGGTTATCTTAAAATATTCTTTTTCGGCTGCTTTCTGAACTATCACCAAATATATAAATCTTTATTGCGACCCAACGTTTTTGAAATTTTGTCTACCCCCCACCCTTTCAAGGGACTGGATTTCAAATATGTAAAAAAATATATATATGTATATTCAAAGAAAATACGTCTTTGTGTCTGATTTCGTAACTTAATTATTAGTTAGCACTAATTAACTAGCATATTTGAGATCACCCTCAGAAACCATTAAGATTAATTGACACTTAATTAGTGAAAATCCGATCATTACAACGAAAGTTATTCGGGTTGATATCTTTCTTCTTTTGCCGACTGTACGCTCTGTAAAATCTTACATTTTTTTTCTTTTAAAAAAAGGACACATTTTCTTTTACTATATGCAAGTATGAAACTACGTATACTGTATGAAATAAAATTAATGATAATAACAATAAAAAACATGAAAAATAAAAGAAATATGACTTTACTTGTGTTGATTGTCTCCTTAATATATTAGTACGTATTTTTAATTTTCTTCTTTTTTTAAAAAAAATAAGACTTTCCAACTAATCGAAGCGAAATCAGTGATGGAAAAAAAGGAGTTAAAGGAGGAAAAAGTTATCAAAGAGCAAAGAAGCATGTTATTTGTACTGCGCGCTCTTTAAAATCTTAATTTTTTTTCTTTTAAAAAAATGACGCATTTTCTTTTATTATATGCAGTATGAAACTCTAATCGAAATAAAATTAATAATAATAACAATAAAAAACATAAAAATATGAAAAATAAAAAAAATATGACTTTACCTACGTTGAGTATCTCATTAATATATAAGTCGGTATTTTTAATTTTCTTTTTTTTTAATATGACTTTCCAAATAATCGAAGAGAATTCAGTGATGGAAAAAAAGGAGTTAAAAGAGGAAAAAGTTATTAAAGAGCAAAGAAACGTACTATTTGTACTGTACGCTCCGTAAAATCTTAAATTTTTTTTCTTTTAAAAAAATGGCACATTTTCTTTTACTATATGCAGTATGAAACTCCGTATATTGTATGAAATAAAATTAATAATAATAACAATAAAAAACATGAAAATATTAAAAATAAAAGAAATATGACTTTACCTGTGTTGATTGTCTCATTAATATATTAGTACGTATTTTTAATTTTCTTTTGGATTTAAAAATTTAGAATTTTCTCAACTTTTTTTAAAATTTACAAAAAATTAAACAGTTTAATCATTTTTTGAAGATAAATTATTGATTATAACTTAAATGAGCACGTAAAGCTTCCTCAAAATGAATGATTATACCTTTATTTTAAAAAATTGTTGCAAAGGTACTGTGACCCCTAATAAAGGTGTAATAAAATTCTATTTATTAGTGTTTGGATCTAAAACTATTTGATTAAACTGATCGTCAGATAAAAACTAAAACTTTACTTTTTAACGAAAAATTTTAAAACGA